GCTACATACATATTACACACAACTCTGCTCTAGAATGGGGGGGGGATTTATTAAAATAACACATCTCCAAGAATAGCCACACACATATTACACACAACTCTGTTCCTGTGTCAGGTGTGAAGATTTATAAAGACCACACATCTCCAAGAATAGCTACATACATATTAAACACAACTCTGTTCTAGAATCGGGGGGGGAGAGATTTATTAAAATCATACATTTCCAAGAATAGCCACACGCATAAAACACACAACTCTGTTCTTGTGTCAGGTGTGAAGATTTATAAAGATCACACATCTCCAAGAATAGCCACACACATATTACACACAACTCTGTCATTGTGTCAGGTGTGAAAATTTATAAAGATCACATATCTCTAGGAATAGCCACACACACATATTACACACAACTCTATTCTTGTGTTGTGTGTGAAGATTTATTAAAATCACACATCTCAAAGAATAGCCACACATATTACACATAACTCTGTTCTTGTATCAGGGGGGGGGGAGAATTATTAAAAGCACACATCTCCAAGAAAAGCCACCCATATATAACACACAACTCTCTTCTTGTATCAGGGGGAAGATTTGTTTCAATCACACATCTCCAAGAATAGCAACGCACACATTGCAGTACCCACAACTACAGAACTATATTCTTGTGTCGGGTGTGAAGATTTAAATTACACATCCCCGAGAATTGCCACACACATTGATCACACAATAATATGGCAGCCACAGCAGTACCTAAAACGAAGAAGGTCAAAGTAGAACAACATCCCAAGTTCCTTGAACTTGTCTATACGTCCTTGTGATCAGATGTTTTTATTCTTACATGTATTGTACATCTCATTTGCATTAATAAAATAATGAACTGTACATAATGTAAATGCCTCTTTTCGTGTTCAGTTTTTGTGTAATGTGAACGAAAATATCCTTGCTGTATATGTAAAAAATCCCGACCGTATTAATGAATATCCCGAAAATATTCAGAAAGTATTCATAAATATCCGGAAAAATGGTTGAATATTCAGCCGTATTTGTGAGTAACCGAATCATATATTAGTCGTATCCCTAAGTATACGTGAAAAAACGAGATGTATATCAGTAGTATCCAGAACTGTGGATATTTCAGGATATCAGTGTTCCGTCTCTCAATAATATCCGTGAATCTCCAAATTCGAGATACTCATCGTATTTATCACGGATTCTTAAGGATACGTTCCATATTCCTATAATATCTCGCAAGTATCCAGGCAGGATTCTTTATCATTTTTCGCTGTGCAAATTGTCGAAATGTATAGAAATATTAAACACATGTATGAAGTTTACATTCTGAACTGTCCAGAAATGTCAGAAAAGCTGCCATTTTATTCAATATATTCAAAGAAATGGCGTGAAATAATCACGTGACCAAAAGTGACGTGACGTTTTGAGCGTGAAGAGATACAGGGTGCTATCTGGCGTGCTGCGAGGTAACGATTCAACCAGAACGTTTTGACAAGTAGAAAAACGGTTTACGCAATTTTAACTAAACTTTCCCACTGAGAAAACAATGGGGCTTTCTAAACTGTTATATTGGACATTTAGCACTACCGGCGTAGAAAACAACAGCCGACCAGTCTTGGTCACTCCATATTTTTACCTCCAGAACTAAAAATGAATTCCTTAATTTTGTAAATTTTGAGTACGAATAGAATGTCACCTCTGTACCCATGAACTCAATCCACTAATTCCCCTATTTTCTATTATATCTCCATTTAAAAGCGACCAGCAAACGTCATAATACGTCGAGGTGAAGATGATTGAAATATTGAAAGCTCCGGTTTGGGTATTATTAGGCAGAAGCCATGACACTTTATGAATTGAGCGACCCGGGAACCAGTATGCGCCCAAAGGGGGTAAATGGTTTTGAACAATTTGAAACAAAACACTAAATACATGCAAACATGGGACAAGAACATTGAATAGAAGTGAGGGGTGACCATAGCTCTTATTTTAAGAAATTTCAGTGTAAATTTTCCAAGTGTCACCCGATGAATTGTCTTCCTTTTTATACTGGGATGACATAGGCTTTAGATTATCCCCTAGTGATCAATTTCTTGTTATATCTTATTCTTGCAATACAGTGTGTCCATAAAATATCTTCACAATTTACACAGACTTTGAATTTTAATTGCAAAGAGACTGTATATCTTATTAATAAAAAATATATATAGTAAAGTAATAATGGAAAACTAATTCAATGTGTATTTACCTGGGTGTCAGGCTGCTGAAGATTGCCATGTGTACTAGTTTAGTACTTTTTACACCCTATGCAGACAGAGCCTGTGGGAAATATTGGGTGCGGAGCAAATGAGCGGAGGGTGCGGAGCTAACGGTTATTTTTGAATTTAAATTTGGGATATTTCTGAAACTAAGCCGTTTTCGGACTTCAAATATACCAAGATATGTGTATTTGACACCAAATATCAATACAATTGTGAAAATAGTAGCGCAATTCATTCTATAGCGACGCAGTGTGCCTTAAACCTTTCCCAGACCTATATATTTTGAAATTATGCTTTTAATACTGAGTCCCCAGCATTCATAAAAAATGGTGTTCAAGGTGCACTATCTATACAAATTATTTTTGCATCTTGGAAGCCAGGCAGTATCTGTGTGATTTTATAAAAATTCGGAAATGTTCTTCAGATATGAGCCCCTCTAAATATTGGGTGCGGAGCTACGTTTATGGAGCTGCTCCGCACCCAATATTTAGAGGGGCTCATATCTGAAGAACATTTCCGAATTTTTATAAAATCACACAGATACTGCCTGGCTTCCAAGATGCAAAAATAATTTGCATGGGTAGTGTATCTTGAACACCATTTTTTATGAATGCTGGGGACGCAGTATTAAAAGGATAGTCTCAAAATATATAGGTCTGGGAAATGTTTAAGGCATACTGCGTCGCTATAAAATGAATTGCACTACTATTTTCACAATTTTATTGATATTTGGTGTCAAATACACATATCTTGGTATATTTGAAGTCCCAAAACGGCTTAGTTTCAGAAATATCCCAATTTTAAATTCAAAAATAACCGTTAGCTCCGCACCCTCCGCTCATTTGCGCCGCACCCAATATTTCCCACAGGCTCTGTCTGCATAGGGTGTTTTATAGGAGTTCATTTTTCACGTTGATCTTGTGTATAGTTAAATAATGTTTTCTGTTAAGTGCACCTTGAAGATCATGACATCTCTATATAGCTCAAACTCCACGGAGGCCATCAATTTGACAAATCGATCGGTATCGCTTAAAGAACCCATTTCGTATTTTACTCAACATAATACCCCATTTGAAAAGGTATTACCAAATTGTAAAAAACAATGAATTGTTTTAATTGAGCTAAGATTGATTAGTATTGGGTTGGACCTGCCATTGAGCTTTGCCTCTGGTGCCGGGACAGAGGGCTCAAGGGAAGGGGAAAGTAGTTCGGTTACGACCCCTTTCTACGGCGTCATGATCCTTACTCCCGGAGGACTCCTGGTAAACATTTTAACAAAATTAATTGTTATAACTATTGACTCTACAAATCCCCTTGGGGTTTTTATGTGGATTTAGAAATTCATTATATCTAATAAACTACAAATGTACTATACACCTTGCTCTGTACCCGTCGAAAAAATACAAGAGGTGTACTTTGAAGCGCAAATGGCGAATAAAAGAATGGAACAAGCGAGAAATAAACTAGACAGGCATGTAGTCAACTCTCGCATAGAAATCCCAAAACAACTGATTCAAATTGTGGAGACGAAAGAGAAAAGGGGTTAAAATTCTGTCGATTATGTTGACGATGCTAATATAAAATGTAATGGATATGAAAAATACAATCAATTAATTGTATTATTGTTTTACTTTCATTAGTTTAGAGAACTGACATTTTCTCACTGAACGTGAACGTTTACGGACAGACGCATATAATTAAGTAAATGAATATCGCTATATAATGATTATTTGATGGTGTGACAGTTAGGCAATTACCAAGCCATTTACCTAATTCCACGAGTTTTGATTTCTAATCAACAAAGACATTCGTTTTGGATTGTAGACACTTAGAGTTAAGCGCACAATGTAACTTCACAAAACGCACAGACACAAACCCCTAAAAATCATCGCCAAATGAACTTGATTTAATATTAACGCCATCAACAATTATTATCAGAGTCGAAATATCATAAGATAAATACATTTACATATAACTTAAACGTTCAAATATCCATGAATAAATACATCCGGATTTAAATATTTACATAGTTTGAGATTTTCTGAATGAAACCCGATGACGTAATGAGATGATCTGCTCCACCCAAAATCTTGAAAATCTCAGCTAAACGCTTTCTATCTTATCAAGGTGTCTTTATATGATGATTGTGGACGTAGAATACACATATTAAATTGATAAGAAAGCTAGAAACACATAGGTTTATTTGCTTCTAAATGTAATCCATTCACAATTTTGTTTGATCGACAGCTTTCTGTTTAGTTTTGTTATCTTAGACTAGATGTCAATGAGCAGTCTTATACTATACACCTTACACCTTTTTATACATTTTGTCCAACATGTCTTTTTATTTTTCATTTTTTATAATGAATCACGATTTAAGTGAAGCTTTTATTTTATGTAAGCGTCAAACAATAATTATATTTTATTGTTACGCAATAATAATATCCAGAAACTAAAATCCAAGTGGCAGAGTAAAATTTAAAAAAAGTTTGATGGCTGCAAAATAAAAACAAAATAAAAAATATTATATTTTACCTTTTTTAAGTAAAATCTCTAGGTTATCTTCCTGAATAATGATCCCTGTCTTATTAAGCAAAATCTGGTTAGATTCCTTGATATACCAAGTGAAATTGACTAATTTAGCAATTCAGTTAATTTATGCCGTATTCAAGCAAGCCACTTTGTCAAATTAACTGTCAAATCAAGTTAAAACCGAATTCTAACTTACCATTTAGAGGGCTATGCGAGTGCATATCCATTGGCATCTTGACATCAATGGGGGATAGTGACATCGACGTATGGTGGTTCTGAGCCCCCGGGACTGCCTGTCCCCCATATGCTCCGTACCCCGCGGGTGAAGAGAACCATGATTGTGTGGCCATGTAAGACGCCTGTGATGATGCCATCGATTGATTTATGTCCCCCTCAAGAGGTGATGAATGCTGAGGCATAGTTTGTCCCATCCCCGGGGCTAGTTGGCCGTAGGAGGGGGTAAAGTTGTAGTTCACTGAATCTCCATTGAGGTATGCCTGCGCCGTTGAATGCTGACTAAGTCCTAATAGATCTTGAACTGTAAACGCCGGACGTTGATTTTGCCCGGGGGTTCCGTAGCTGCGACTTAAGAGCCCCCCATACTGGGGTGTCTGCGTCTGTAGGGGCGAGGCAAGTGAGTAGCTGGGCAACGTACTCATCACGGAATTCATCATGCGTTCTTACGTAGCTATCCAATATATCGTCTTAACACTTTCGGAACTTACAGTAATATGCCAACAACACCACGGGAACGCTCCACTAAATTCGTTTCGTATCTGCACGTTGTTAACTTCCGAGCTCACTGAATGTGTAATAACGAAAATTTTCAGATTCATAGAACTTATAGATTCCCTATAAGTTGTTATCTCTCAAAATAAGAGAACTTTATTTCAGCGGGGATAGTCGCACGAACCTCCAATAATTGGCTATTGTTTGATGCCGTTCGCTCCGCCCAGCAAATCAGATAGCTGTCAATCAAGCTCTACTACTCGGGATTGAATTACCCTTATGTTGGTTTAATTAAATACCAAGTGCTCTTAGTAATAACAACTTACATCTCAGGTTATCTGTTCCGGATTAACTAATTTACTATTTGTCCATTTACTTACCAAAAACAAGCAAATATGTGTCGTAAAATATCGCAATTTGCGCAGTGGTGACACTTTTCCAGGAGAGCCAGTTTTTTCTAACTGACCAGGTTTCGTTGAAAATAATTCTAATGACCACATTTAGTGAAAGACATGAAAACGATTGAATATGTGTCTCAAAATCGAGATATTTAATCATGTGAATTAGTTGGCTGTATTTTCACATGATGTTTACATCTGAAAGTGCGTAATTAGTATTACCCATTACAGTGGTAAGTAAAATTTCACCATGGGTGCCCCATTCAGATTTCAGATATCATTCAATAGGGACCTTTCAAATAAAAAGAAAAATGTTTGAGGGTTTCATTTTGTATGATAACTTTTCAAGAATTACCTCATATAGTTTAGCTCTTGAGTTGATTTTAAGGAAAGCTGACTGTGCACTCGGTGAGTTTTTTCGATGAGAATTGGAGGGAAAATATTTCGGAAGTCAAAAGCTTTTATGAGCAAGAGACACGACCTGCCAACTTAAAGTGGCGAACGCTGTTTAGGTTTTAGAGAAATTATACAAATTCTATACCACGATTTTTATATTTTAATCAAGTTATTAAACTCTCAATTAGAAATGATGTAAGGTAGTGAGACCCCAGCATGCCTCATTGCGCGACCAGCATGCATTGCGTGTATAGGTAAATAGCCGGAAAGGTGTTGGGGCATACTGAGCGAGTAGCTAATATGGTAATTTCATTTAGAAAAATATGTCATTGTTATATAGTGTTAGACCCAGTGAAGTGAACACTGTAACACTGAACAAACCAGGCCCAGGATATGTCTGACTCAAAACACACTGTGCGCAATATGTGATTCCCGATGTGACTAAAGTCGATTTATGGCTATACTATACCTACTACATTTTTTGAAAAAATAAGCAATCAAAGGACCACAGTGCAATATTATATGGTAAAACAAAAACATATGTTAGAGACCTAACGTTTGTATATTTTGGATTGTTTGTGGTTTGGTTACCAAATGTGTGGCCTCTTGTGTATGTAATGCTAATCTGCCATATTATTTTTTGAAACAGGACTCAAAATTAATATGGCTACAGCGAAACGTCATGCATTGAAATTTTGGAAATGCTGAAACAGTAAACATTCCCAAAAGTTTATAATGATCAGATTTATATCTTATTCGATCCACGTGTTTAGTTATTTTACAATAATGAAGTTATTTTATTCTAGTTTCGTTCATTTTCACTTGCTTGAAATTTTATAAAATATGCTTAAACATTATGACCGAGCAGATGTCTGTTAGCGACACTGATGTTTTAAACTTTGATAGGAATATTTTCACTAAAATAATTGACAAAGTCAAATGAAATTAGAATTGGACTTTCGAAGAAAACATTTGCAATAAAAGTTGCTGAATGAGCCTCAGTAGTAGAATTTCTAAATAGTAACTTTGAAGTACTTGTTCATGCCAAAATTATCGTCAAAATATAACTCGTAAAAACGTAATCGTAAAAACTGAACGATAACAGATAATCTATGATTTGAAGACAGTTTTAATAATGCCGAAATGATCGTCAAGTATAACTATCTTACAACTAAGAATTCCCGTTAAACAAGAATTCATGTTTTGCATCTTTTATAAAAAAAACTTTCAGTCAGTGGCCATGGTAAAATGATAAATAAATAAACCTTTTAGCCAAGACGTGATGTTACAAGAGTCCGTTTCAGAGACAATAAAATTAGTCTGGTTGTTGTCCATAAACCATCACCAAAACAGAAAAGGAAATTTCCTCGTCCATGCGACATGTCCTATCCTGAATGAACCAATTAGTCGCAATATGATTAAACCTTATAATATTATAATACAGCTCACCCGACGACATTTTCTGCCATCGGAGAAGCGAAGATAACCGAGAAGATAAAAGGTATATTATTCAAATGAAAACGTAGCTCATCTTAAAGGAATCTCTAATTGGTTCAATTACAGTATACATCTCTGAGAGTATGTTGGTGTCGCATACTATACTTCATTTTCCGTCTATTGGTGTCTCAATACTGGTTCAGTTAAAGCAGTGACGCATTTTGAACTGCCTTTTCATTAAATAATCTGCAATAACCTTTGGAATATTCAGATGTACAACATATCTTGTCTGAGAAATTTTCACCAAAAATGACTGTCCATTTTAAGCAGAGTAAGTTATGACATGTCTGTAATATGTCTTATTTTACCAAGGCATACCTGCGGATTGAACTATATGATTCACCCTCCCAATTTTGTCTTTTGGCAGACAGATTGGTACAATCTTGAATTTCCACAGAACTCCTAATAAAATTATCGAATTTTCTGAGTGTGATAAATTACCGCCTTCACCCCTTTAATGTTACAGTTTCAGCAAGTCTATTGGTGGAAATTTTTTCCCTAAATCGCAAATTTTATCAATTTGCTTTTGCTGTTTGTGTTTGCCAGATAACAGTTCTATGACTGAAGGAATGATTTTCATAATATTTTGATAGAAATCGCGAAAATAATTCATTATTTCAACTTGCAGAAAAACTGGAGAAATGGTTTAAATCAATGTAATTGCAAAAACTGACAAAAATTGAAATCATATTTTGCTGTGTTTCCTTGTTAGAAGGAAAACATAGCTCATATTTCATGACCCATGAAGTTATATAAAAGCTAAAAATGTGAAGTATAAATGGACTATGTATACATGCGTTTTTGAGGTTCAATTTTTGTATCGAAAAGTTATTCCACATTAAAGATAGCACATACGAGGAAGACCAAGGTACATGTGGATGATATAATTATTGACCGTTTATGTTCTCGGTGTGTTGTTAAGTGTTGCCAACTGTGCTTTCTCAATATGATATTTAGATATTTCTCCAACTCAAATCGTCTACATATGTTTAGCTGCTGGACAGACCCTACTCTGACACCCAATTATTTTTGTGTTGATTCGTGAATCGTTAAGGAAAAATCCAACGCACGCTATTTCTGTATTGGTTTAAACAGAGCCATGTCAAGTAATTGGAATTATCACCAATTTTCTTAATGACAAAATTACTTTAGTACGAATTTGATATCATACAGTTCTATCAAAATCATGGACTGGACACTGGGTATTACTGTCAGTATAGTGTGACAATGCCAATGCTAATGGCAGCATACATACACAGAATAGTTTAAGGAAGTGTAATTCGTGACATATTTTCGAAGCTTTATTGTAATCTGTCATGGGATGACATCCCGATTTAAAGTCGAAAATTTGCTCTGGTTTCACATTCTATGTGCATCTTTTTAATACATATTTGAATCAGATTGATCCACAAAATGCATGCCTCGATTGAATTGATAGATAGAACACGTTTGCCAATTTAACTCACTTTAATTTTTCAAGAAGTTGAACCATAGTTATGCCACTTTCAATAAAAAAAAAAGTTATAAACGCTTTATGGCACTTTAATAAATCACAAAGAGGTTTGTATTGCCAAAAGCATGTACCTGTTTTGGTTTATTGGGGTTTGGATTAATTAAGGTTTTTATAATATTGCCTCTGATCAGTTCATGGTATTTTAAGATTTTAATTTTATTATGATACATATTTATTGTAAGTGATAAGGAGGTACATTCGGAATAACATAGAAAACACAAATTCACAAAAACCCAAATTACCGATATCAACAGAGAAAACAGAACACTTTCATTCCATTTCAGATGACGGAAACGTTTAATTACGGTTGGATTCCAGATTTATTCACCTAAATTACTATATTAGTCGTGAGCAGTGGACAATGGTTGCGGTTAGGAATCCATTATTAAATAAAACGGGACTTTTTTGCTGAAAATTGCCTTTATTAAATAATTGGGCTCGTTACTGGTGCATTTGTCCAACTTCCATTTGTGAAGAAGTTCATCCGTAATGAGGTAGGATTCTAGCGATGGCATCGAACATGACTTTCATGAAGAAAGGCAATTATATAAACACGAATGTATTCAAATACAAATATAATGGGATATCTAAATGCCTCTAATGTCTTTTTATTCTGCTAAGAATACTGTATTAGAAACACAACATATTACATCTATATAAATATGCATATACTTGTATGTAGGTTCAATATGTTTCCTGAGATCTTTGATAGGATTTTCTTGATGAATTTTCCAATTGTTGCTCCTTATGCTCTCTTTGCTCACTCTCTGCTCTCTTTGGTTCTTCAATACTTCTATTCTAATATAGCTTTAACAGTTAATATGCTTTATAGTGCTTTGTGTGTTAATATTTCTTTTTCAAATATTGCCCATTGCGCTTTGATTCTAAATATACCAAAATAGAGTAGTATTCATTACACTAACCCAGGGAATATACATCATTAGAAATCGTGACCTTATATTAGCCACACTAGTATATATTTTATATTTCTGGTTGAAGACAGAAGGATGTGATGAGTATCAGAATGGGGAAGATATGCCCAACTGGATAACTATCCCATGTAGATATAAAGGGGTTCACTCAAACAGCAGTTTGTGTTGGGGCGGTGTTTTATAGAATTGAAATATAGGATGTGATGGAATCAGAAGACAGCTAGGGTATACAATGGAGCCGTTACAACCCTGTCTCGCACCCCCCCCCCACTTCAACAACAATTGGGTGGTCCAGAGCCTGGAAACAAGAGTAAACCCTGTGATCCTGGTTACATTACATCAAAACTAATTATATGTACGAATATATGATCCTAAATAACAAATTGCCAACAATACTATATTAATGTTCCGAGCTCAGCTCGCAATTCTTAAAAGGCAAACGTTGTGAAGTTTCCAGAGGAAATCCGCTGTATGAAAAAATATGTCACTGATCAAAATAAAACAGTGGCGGTATCTGTGGGAAAATTATATGAAAAAGCAGTGCTATTAAAATCACAAAATAAAAAATGAAAGTAGCTCAAAATAGAAATACTTTAAAATTCCTGGATTCGTAGTAAGATATACCCAAATCTATTTTAGCAGATTGTACCCACATGTAGGAAAAACTGCCAGGCGAGTTGTCAGATTGGAAGTACTTATACTGATACAAGGCTATTGGCTGGTTTGTTTTCCTACCCACGGGTGGCGTAACGTTGAGGCGTTCAGGTGCCCCGTGTCATTGAGGTCACTCAGATTTCACATATTTTGATTTGATGTGATGTTCTGTAGTTTCAGACTTTAGGGTTAGGTGAACTTTTACGTTTTTATCATTCGCTGTTTTTAAGATTCATGTGAATAATGAATTCCTGATCAATTAGTTGATTTGTAATAGTTTGGATTGAGTTTGCCAATTTTGGTCGATTTTTCAATATTTTGTAATTTCCAGTATTGGCTTTTATCAGTGGTGATTATTTTTTCTAATTTCTTGTTTTTTCATTAATTTTTATCGAGTTTCCATTTTATTTACATTCACTGAAATTTGTTTCTTTTTGTATTTTAACAAAATACGTTTATGTAAATTTTGGGGTTATTTTGAATTTATTCTTTATTTTCTTATTCCAATGATTTTTCTATGTTTGTATATATTGGTGACCCAATGATTTTCAATTGAAACATGTTTTGTGATTTGTCCCATTCTCTTTTATTTAGTAATTAATATAAGATATATTAAGATATAGCCTGATGCAAGGGCAACCATTTACGGAACTCTGTAATTAACTATATCTCTCGATAAATCTAAAGCTAAAGACTTCTATATACATGTGGCACGGTTATAAAAACTGAGAAACATCTTTCAAATAGAGTACACCCATGTACAATAGTATGTCATTTCAGAAACTTGTATTTGGCATCAAGTCTGTGGTACATATGCAATACATCCAGTAAAAAAATAAAAAATTCATCGTGTGGGATTGTTTGACTGGATAAATCGCCTCAAATGCGAAAGTGTCGCAGCAAGGGTAAATTATTCAAAACCTAAAAAATTAAAATGAGTGCAATCTACAAGGTGCAAGATTAAACCAATAAAAGGCAAGTGCAAGATCGATCTCACCAGCAGGTGTGGCCAACGCGGGATTACATTTTTTGAGGCGAGTTTGAAAAGTTTCAAACAGTTCCACGTCAAATCAAGTGCCTGCTTTTTAAGGCAATATAAACAAGAAAACATGTTAAGATGTACTTACTTGTTTAGAGGAGGTAGCCAAGACAACAAATTAGCGATGTCAATCACCTGTCAACTTGGCAGGTCTCTCGATGGGAAGAAATGAATGATTTACGCCATCTTTAATACAAATAGGAGTTCATTCATATACAAACTCTGCAGGAATTGTTGGTGTTCCTTGAATTTCCAACTAGATATTTTGCCTTATTAAAGAAGTCAGCATGAAGATGAATATCATTTACTACAGAGGCCAATAGGAGGCCCTGCCTGTCAATGCTGTATTTAATATTGTTTAAACTAAAACTAGGCCAACAGGAGAAAAATCTGCCTGCAAGGACCTACGGCCCTCGGGCAGATATATTATATTGGCCTCGGGATAATCCCAATATCCGGAACCTCATATAGAATAATCTATATTTGTACGTTCAGAACCTCCATATCTCCCGCCCCAGGAGATATGCATATCTATTATATCTACCTACGGTGTCTCAGGTAGATATGTATATCTCCATCTGGATAAACTCCATATCCAAAACCTCCCAGTACATAACCTTTCTATAATAGCTTATCCTTGAGATGGGGTTCGGCATATTGGGATTATCCCCAGACCAACATATCGTAACTGTCCTCCGACCCTCGGGATATATTTGCCTGAAATAGTCTCAATATCCTGAACGGCATATCGGATACTTTCTATTCATCCAATTTCTTGTGCATCGTAATGAATATCGGACACAAACTAGTATGGTATCGATTATCATCCCCAAACGCAATGGGCCTAGGGGTGTCCCCAGAATTATTTCGATGCGGTGGGGGTGGGGTTGGCTTCTTCCTTCCATCATCTTAGCCTTTCACTTTCATATATTATATCTAGCTTTTAGTCCTTCTCAGTCTCCTCCTCAGCACCATGCATCGGAATGAAAACACAGGGGTTTGGCTCAAAAAGGGAGGATACATGAGCATCCCCCTCATTCGGACGCCCATGTAATATCTAACGTTTTGAGTTAGAAAATAGGCACCGCACTTTGCGTAAAAAGTATAGTGGTTTGTTTTTGGATGAATTTTACAGCTGAACTTATCAGATTTACGACATATTTGGAACGCATTTAGATATCATTAATAGAGTAGTTGTTATATAGACAGAAAAATAGATGGCAGCACGTGTGTTGGTAGAAAATGGCAGGTTCAGAATGGCACGGATTCTAAACATCGTTGTAATGTAACTTTGCTTTTAGTTTTTACAATTTGGGTTCTCGTAAATACACATGGATGCCATATATTTAAATGTCAGGATCTTGTTGGAGTCATTCTTCCTGTAAATTATGTGAAAATCAGAAATCTCCATTTACAAGTGAGCAACATACTGTCAAACTCAGACACGGAAATGATGAAATGCGCCGAAACGGCACCTTTGAGTCTCATTCACAAAATGCCACAAATTGTTACATATCTTAAATCTGAATCAATGCCATTTGATCAATACTAATAAATTATCTTTGATATTACTGACAACTTTAGATATCTGGATTAATCCCATACCAAATTGAATATATATATATTGGGATAACAGCACAAGATTATTTTGGTATGCCTTACTAAAATTGTATCCGACAGATACTATTAATTTTGAATTTAGCGTCTAATATGATTTGACAGAGTTCCGACCATCATGTGCTTATCAAAATAATTTTTATGTTTTCATGCAACCATTTTACATAATAGCATATTCAGTTGAGGTGAGGTAAATATTTGAGTTTTTTAATTTAAATTGATTCTATCGTACACAGTGACCTATTTAAAAAAGTAGTGGCATAGACATATTTTGAATGAATAACTTGTTGTAATATTGATGAAACCATCTTGATATTATTTCTTATGAAGAGAACAGAGAGTATTCAATACTAGTAATCATGGGCGTAACCAGGGGGGAGGTGCGATGAGTGCGAACGCACTCCCACCCCATAACCAATGAAAAATAGACAAAGACATGAGCTTCAAAATGCTATTTGTTTGAAGCTTCTAGCTCAATTTTGAAGGAAGTTACATCAATTTTTGTAAAATTCAAAACAAATCTTTAAAAAAAATTTGCTCGCTTATGTCACCCTCCCCCCACCCCCCTAGCTGTTTTAGTTTTAGAGTAGTTTATAACTAGACTCTGCGCGGGGTAACTATGGCAAACATCTAAGCACAAGTGACAAAGGGAAAGGACCAAAGGTTGTAATGGAACCTTGCAAGAAAAACCAAACTCTAAGTGTATACCATTCATAAGAAACACAAATCCCATATATCCTAGAACCATGATCTAACGTGAAGAGAAACAAGGTCGAATGCCCTTTCTTCAACATTCAAGGGCCAATATCACAATTAAAGACCAAAACACCAAAGGACATTTATTGAGCTAGAGATTGTCCTTGAGTACGTGTCATTATATTATATATATTTCTTATTTCATAAATTATTGTTTCATCCTATAAATCATATGACAGATCGTCTGATACTTGGGAGAGCAAGCTACATGTTTTAATAGAAATACTCACGAACGTGTTATATCATGACCCGCCAAACCTTCTGTCTATTTTGCGACATAAGTCAAACAGATACAAAGAAGTCATGACAAATAAATATAATTTATTAGATAATTTGTGTAAAATAAAAAATAATTTACATATAATAATGAATTACATTCATACAATAAGCTTCACCTACGTCATCATTACGTCATCAATTGCAAATATCACTATTTTTCTGTTTTCCTCACTGAATGCCTGATTTCTCGCCTGTTCATATTTTATCATGTTCATTTAGGTTTAATTATATTTAAATGGGAATATTAAGAGAGATTTCACTTTCAGCTTTGTTAATTGTACATTACGTGAATTATAAAAATCAATACAACATTTTGTTGCCAATGTCTCTTATAGATGGCAGGCCTGTTATGTTTGCCTTTTTAATCAAAGGACATTTTATTTTATTTATTCTATAATAAGGAAATGACTGGTTTGTATTTACACAAAAAAACGCTGGTTTAAAACCTTTAGAGAAAATACAATTATGACAATAATGGCCAAAAAGCAGATATGCTGTAATTGTATTTGGCAAGAATATGCATCTTTGGTGTACTTTAGACCAATCAGAGTTGTACACTAACATTGTGAGTGATACCATTGTGAGTGATTTCATAGCCATTTCAAGTCTCTACAAATTCACTATTACTTCACGGATCTGGCAGAGAACTGGTGGATACGTACTTCTCCGCCTTTAAAAAACGTCACAACGTCACGTGCATTTGACCCAACGTGATCAGTGGTAGCTGGATGTTTCAACTCGTGGCTCGGCCGAGACTGTATAGCTAAGTAAATATACAATACGTGTAGTTTACCCCATAGCAAAACACGTCCCCATATTGTCTAACCAGTAGCAACTTCTCGATCACATAAGTCCGTGGTTCGTGGGAGATCGAAACTACTAACTCTATGTATATTAATACCCTCTTTGGAGTCTCTCATTTCTGACGCACGGGGTGTGTCTTGGAGATGAATTTCTGGACTACATAGAACTTCGGTGGTTTCGCGAATCTTCGCACTATGTTCCATCGCCTTTGCCCGTAGCGCAGCGATACTCTCAGACCGAAGTTCGTCCTTGTCTTTTAGAGCATGACCAGCTTTCTCCTCTCGTTCTGCGGGTTCGGTTTGCTCCCCATTAAGGTTCAACTTTTCGGCGGCCTCTATTGATTTCTTATGCATGCCTGGAAAATAAAAATATTTCAAATAATGCCTCTGACAAATCAAGCGACCGTTTTAAAAAACCATGTGTCCAATATAGGGACTTTTGACCAATATTTGATTTTGAAAGTTACGGAGTGCGAATGGAAACGTAACCAGACCCTTGTTGATGTACAGGTGTATCTATCTAGTATGATGCTGATTTATTTTGTCTTTCTCCTGTTTATTGCATTTAATGATAGTATACATGTAGTAAAAATACTCACTTAGCAGCCATGGTGCCGCTGATTCCATTACGCCATCTTTAGCACTCTTTGTGATAGTCTCCGGTAGAGGGAGTGAGTGTCGCACCATTGCCCCGTAGAGACCATACTCCGCCATTATACTACTGCGCCCCCAGGTTTTCTCTGTTTTCCTCCACTTTGCTCGCCTATTTTGAAACCAAACCTGAAAACAAAGAATATTTTACATGTAATATACAGTCATTTTTCATATGTACATTTTGAACATACCAAAACCTTCATGGCGTATATTACATTTGAAAGCACACGAACAAAACCATGAAAACACATTACAATCTGAGGCACGTTTCCAAAGCAATCCTTACAATATAAATATGAGCAGAGCGGGACTACTTTGGAATTTGTTTTCGCATGTGTCATATACAAAATCCCTATAAACCATAGAAATATTAATTCATTGAGTTGAGACTTCATTACTGAAGTCGGTTCGAATGATTTTATTTGACAGCTTTCCACACATGGGATTCCGCGACAACCTGTTCGCTAAATGAACAGATGGAATGAACAGGTTTCAGAGAAAACACTTGTTTACGCGCGATCTTGTTTTTTGGTGTCGTGTTTTCTTTCCAATTTAATTATGAATGTTATGCAGAAAATGCGCTCGTATAAAATAACGCTGCCATGCATCCTTTGGAATTCACGAGTGGATTTGGGTCCCAGTTGTCATTGGATTTCAGAGATGACACAAATTTATAATTCCGTATTCCACTTCACTTTAAAAACCATATGGATGCTCAACGAACTTTTTTCTATTGTTCTCAAATGGAACAGACTCGATTTCTTCTGTATATTTATTAATTTTTCAAACGATTTAGTTCTATTAACAAAATATATTCAACAAAGATAACAAGAAGTTGAACTTGAGAAGCGTTCTGGGATAGATAATAATCTCCCCGGCCACCTCAACGACCAGCATTACGGACATAGAATCAACAAGGCAAGTAATGTGTTTTTTCTTATTTGGCAGTCAGCTTTTAAGTGACTCTGCGGGCTGTCTAATTCCTCCTTATAGCACCAAAGACAATTATTTGGATTTGCCAACCACTTGCGGCTTCTCAATGTAAAGAAAAAACATCCCAGTATGCAGAAAATCCAGCTGGTATGTACCCTTTTAAAGATACAACATTGCGATGTGGAATCGGTTTACATGGAACTGGAATCATAAGATACCATCTTGATATTGTTGCATTTTTAAAAATTGTTAGACCGTAATATCGAGACATAATTACTACTTAGAGATTGTTTCTTTATTTGTCATCACTAAAAGATAAACATGTAGAATTCAGCGTGACATTTATATATAAACATGGAGAATTCAGCGTGACATTTTATATTTTGGTGATATTAGGCTCATATGTTTTTCTAAGGCTCGCTTCGAACACGTGTCGAGGCGATCCGCACAGCAGGGACTTCAAAGATTTTGACAAAACAATTCCAAAACAAATAGACAAGCAATTTATCCGCCTAGTGGTGAAGAAATGTCTGATGAAGCAGTCATTGGTATTTCTTCTTTCTTCACGACCACTGGTTCAGATTTAAGTTAAAATGGTTAATTTTTATAATATTTTCAACGTATACGTCTCTAATTTACCTGAGTTTTACCTGTATTTATCACGTGAATTGGACGATGATTTACTAGAAATTACAAATTATTTTCTATATTTGTTCCCCTTTGTTGTATTATCAAAAGCTTGAGTAATATTGCGGTCCTGTTTCTCTCAATGCAAATGCGGAAGCTTTATGTATCACTGGTACATCGTCACGAACAATAATGGTATCTTGAACATACACTATTGTTCTCTACACGTATTACATACCAACTACCCTCGCCTCGTTGTGTTTCGGATGAAAACGAATCTGTAATTATGACACTAATTAACGGATGATTGGTTTTATTTCAGATTAATTATCGGGATGATTAGTTGTTTTTGAGGCGATGAGATACTTGAATGTCTCGGTCTTGGCTAATGAATGCGCCCATGTGAAAGGTATCTTTGGGGCACAACGTGCTGAATCTACCACTCATAATCCGGTCCCGGGAATCTTGTCTTAATTCAGCTTTCAGAGATTCTACTTTTTCAACCATCCTTTCGTGTGAAATCTTGTTTTATTACGTATAAATGTATACTCTAGTTAATTATTTAAAGCGTTATTCGAAATCAACAAAACCACGCTGATGGTATAATGTGAGCAATCAGCAAGTACCCCATAAATTCCTCCATAATTCAATTATTGAGAAAAAAATCGACCTATGTTTATTTCAATTTTTTCACTTCCCTGAAGTTGATTCGTTAGATGTATAAACTAACAGATAGTGTGGGCTTTCGTTCTGTTTCCATTTTTTTAAATTAATTAGTTCATGTATGGCATATTATAAGTGAAATAATTTCGATTTAGTATTGTTTGCCTTTTTATCGTGTTTATTGTTTTTCGTATTCACTATGTCTTTATTGATGGGCAAATCTGATCTCTAAAATTATCATTGTCACAAAGTGAACATGAATTGATTATTAGCTAATTGAGTCTTTAGGTCTAATGTCGGATACAGGTAATATATGACGACGTTTTAATCTGGAGTCAGGTGCTATGACCAGAGTTCCCCGGCATGGCAGACAAGTCACGCTTTTTCTCGTATTTTCTCGTTAAAACGTGAACACCGAGTATTATTTCATGGATATTATTACCATTTAAAGTGTTTTCTAGTTGCGTGTCTGCGTTATTTCTCGGTAATTCATCTCTATTTTGCTTTATTTCACGTTTAAATACATGACGTCAATTGATTTCATTAACAGGAAGGCCACTCAGGGGTCCCATGGGAGGGGGCAAATTGCGGATAGCTTGTCGACAAGATAAATGCACGACAACGTCGTTATTGTTTCTATAGAGCAAACCTATCCCATGAGTCTCATCGACCAATTAGGAACAACTGCAATAAGTTTATTACTAAATATCAAAGTTTTTATTAGGAGTTAACTAGCTCATGCTGGCAGAAACGGAGGAGATTGGCAGTAAATTATTCACGAAGTAAACTGTCGAAAACAATGCAACGTAGCAAAGCGCCTTTCAGTTTATTAGAGATAAGCTCTTAACGGAGATTTTGAGTTAAAAGCTAATAGTTTAGTGAATACAGTAGTGATCAACTAATTTGACATCAGCATTGATGTAATAAAAAAGAAAATGCTCCCTCGATGGCGTTAAATTAAAATGCTGCCATGTTATTATCTCATTATATTAATGGGAACAACATCGTTAATAAGCAATGAAGTCATCAAAATGATGAACTTCTATCTGCTGAATGATGTGTGAGTATGTTACATGATATGTGGATATATACCGCATGATATGTGGATATGTTACATGATATGAGAATATGCTACACGATATATGGATATGCTGAATAATATGTTAATATGTTTCATTATATGTGGATATGCAGCATGATATTTGGATGTGTTACATGATATGTGAATCTGTTACATGATATGTGAATGTGTTTCATGATATTTAAATATGTTACATGATATGTGAATATGTTACATAATAAGTGAATGTGTTTCATGATACGTGAAAATGTTACATGATATGTGAATGTGCTTCATGATATGTGAAAATGTTACAAGATATGTGAGTATATTACATGATATGATAATATATTACATAATATACTGCATAAATAGGTCACACGAAATGTGAATATGTTACGTACTCCATGACACGCGAAAATGCTACATGCAATCCTGTATGATATGGGATATGCTGATATGGAAATAAACTACATGATAGATTGTAAATCAGACACATTTGCCTGTCAATAAAGTTCACTGGGATAAAAATGGCGTAAGTTTGTCCCAAAGATGTACTCCTAGAACGAATTCTCTACAAATTCTAAATTGACCTATATTCCATCTTCCGGGAGCGAGATCGGTCTTTCGAAGCGAGGAGATCTCTCTTGAATATAACCAGGTAAAAACTGCGAAATAAAGTCCCAAACGAATTACCGTTAAACAAACGTGCATTCTATCTTCGGGGAATGAGATCGGTCTTTCCAAGCGAGAAAATTTCTCTTGAAAATGACCAAGTGAAAACTGCGCAAAAAAGTCTCGCCTTCGGACGTACCTGTATTCTATCTTCCGGGAGGTCCGTTTTGAGTGAGAGGACCTCTCTCTGATACACGTCCGGGTAATGCGCCTCTTTGAAGGCCTTCTCGAGTTCCTCTATCTGGTAGCTAGTGAAGATCGTTCTGAAATAGAGAGGTAAAGATTTAAGATACGTAGAAAAATCGGGATAACTGATTTTATAAGTTAGACAGAGCGGCTGTTTTTAGGATCTGCGTTCTTTTGTGGTTTTGTAATGTTGCCCTTTGTAATGATGAGATGGGTTTACATGCCATTAGAATTGACTCATTTATGTGAAACACAAGAAGTCTATTGAAACCAAAAAAGAAATGTGTATATTTCAAAAAACTAACCAGTCATTAACTTTTAGGTCAATGGGGCAAGCCACAAAAATTCAATGAAACCTAATCTACAATGCCAAACATATCTATCGTAATATTCAAGATTTTTAAATGATGACGTTAAATTTCAGCACTATTTTGACAATCGATACAGCTTGTGGTGTTCGCAAATTGATACTTTTATCAACGATCATAATTTGAGTAGATGCGGTGTTGTCAAGTGGATGGCGGACCCCTTGTCATATCACAATCAGTAAACCAAGGGGTAATAAAAGAGAAGGATTAATTGATTAAATGGTTCGATTTCTATCGGATATTAGCTAAATTCCAGATCGCCAAAAATGCATGAAATCCTGATTTAAGAGACAAAACTGTTAACCTAGCTGATAGTACTTGATGTTATGATTCAATATGAGCTAAAAACAGGAATATTTCTAATATTTGTCAAGGTTGCAGCTGGGATCACAAAAATATAGGCGAGGCAAATTTGAATAGGTGAGGCAAAACCAAATAGGATATCATACTTGCACTTTCACAGTTTTACTCGAAAAAACGTTTTCACTTGTCACTATTAGCAACACTCATGCTTGAACTCATTAAAGTCGAGTTTTGAGTGTAGTTCGAAAGCTATTTTGAAAATTGGGCTGTTTAATAACCTTTATCAGCAGATCTAAATATTATGATTAATAATTATTATACAACCATGATATTCTATCCTATATTTTCATAGACAAGACCCCCAATATTGAGTATGAAATAAAGCTAGTTTGGATCTGAGAAGAATGTATCGAATGCGATATGGGGCGATTAGGTTCTACTTTTCAGATTAAATAATTTATTCATAGATAGAGAGACTATAAACAATTTAGTCAGCTTATGATTGCGATTATTAAGATGGTAAATTCTCTAATGCAATTAGATGATGAGGAACTACCCGGGAAGTACTCGAAAACGCATCGAACGATAATAGACAGTGACCACAGACAAACATACTGTAATAAGCAATTACGCTAATGCCGCAAAACTCTCCAGAGTCACTTCAGCTATTTTATTATCAAACCCTAATTCAGATGACATATTTGAATAATAGTCAATACTCTTCTCTTTTCTATTAAACTTTCCTAGTTATTGACTTTGTAAATTAAGTTAGAATCGTCGATGATAATCCCCCACTTCAAAAACGCCAGATTTATACCGCCTTAAACGTCAATGTTTACAACCATTTTAGAACAGTCATCACGGCGATCCGTTCCAGTCTTGTAACCCCATAACCCTTTTCGGTTGAACTATTTCAGCGTCGTTTCCACGTTTTTAAGTACTTTTCATTTAATGTTTCTCCATCCCTCCTCACTCCTCAGTGACCAATTTAGCAAAAACAAGATGGCGTTTTGTTCGCGGGGATCCATGAAAGGAGGTGGAGGATCAGTCTTTGATAAGCTTCACTTGAGGAAGCTATGACTTGTTCTTAATCATGTTTAATCAGTTAATAAGACTCCTTATTCTATAGATCTAGTCAAAAGCAATTTATTTAGCGACCTTTTACACGTAATTATCACGTTTATTTTGCCTCGACTAATAAAATGTTGTGACGGTTCACGTCAGTTCCAATGACTGCGTCACAAAAAACAGTGTCAAATATTGTTACCCCATTTATTTTATTAAAAAATGTGAGCAACACATATTGTCGTCCACCAAATTCAAATGCTATCAGATATCGTTTAGCAGCTCTGCCACATTTTGCCCTCTCGATCCGATCTCTTTGTCTCCATTTTGTTCGCCGCGTATTTTTGCCACATCTTTTTGCCCTCACTATTCTCTGACTCTGTCCATTTATACCCCAAATCGGTGGCATCCATTTCCGTGCCCCGTTCATACTACCCAATATTTCAGTTTGACCTGTCCCATTCTCCACACTAGCCAATCCAGTTAGTCATCCCGCTCGTGTTTTCTTTTCCTCCATACCCGATTCCCACCCGGATCATATGCCTCATTCACCTCGAGCCTTAACATTTTTGTACTATTTTTTATTTATGTTCCCCGACTCACCTGTGTCGTCGCTTCTTCTTCTTGCTTTTCTTACTGAGACCTCTGGCTCCAAACAACACCCCTCTCTCACTGTCATCGTCGCCATCTGAAAGTACATAAACAATATCATATTGAGATAATACACATGTACTGTATTTGTAGCATTTATTGCCAGAACAAAACTAAATCTACGAGCGGCCCGGGTTCGATTCCCGATGGTGCCTTCGGTAATTTTATATTTCTGGTGTCTTTATGTAACACTACACTACCCTGGGATCGAAAGGCTAAAACAATTAGCAGGTGAAGCTCTCTTGAGAGAACTATCAAAAGGGTAGATAAACACATGTTGATCACCATGCATTATTATACACAAAAAGAATTCAATGGCTGGCGAAAACTGAATGTAAATTAAGACAAAACAGTCACAAAATTAAATCTAAAGACTCTAAACCCCAAAAATCCAAAACAATGGGTAGACAAAATAAGTCACTCATTGTATCGTTTTGTACTAGTTTGTTTTTCAATTTGAGATTTAACCTTATTGTATATAAGTGTGGGGTTGGCCACATTCTAAACACGGAATTGTTTTCAATCTGTTTTTGAAGATTGTGGAAAGATACCTCGCCCAGCGGATAATCCTATTAAGCTAGTGCGATACGTGTATACATTTAACAAGATGGGCGATGTTTAACCCGAAAAACCTTAACGCTATCTCCCGATCATCGACAAACTACGAGAGATCGGATTTCCCATCATATACACGGGCTATCATTCGGTGGTCTTCAATTAACTCCGCAGACCCCAATCAGAATAATATTTTGATACTTCGCGGATAAGATTTCCCCAGCGGCCAATCAAAATGATAGACTTTTAATTGGATTGAAATGGCGTGGAATCTTTATCTATTTTGTTTTCACGTTTTATCTCGTTATTACATCAACATTAATGCTAATTTAAGATTCAAGTGGTGTTGGTGAACATGGTCGGTAACCTTAATCTAAGTTCGAACGATTGGCACGTTTGGTCAGGTGTCCAATACGATAGAGTACATATACAAGAATATATAGAGATACTAGAACTTTAACTCTCGTGGCTCGCTCTAGTTATCCACTCTAAATGGGTTGAATTGCTTTTCGATCTTGGGGTCTTTGCATAGCTGAGAGTTAAGCTTTGTAACGTAATCGTTTATAATTACATCCATATATTGTTTCTTCTGTCTTTGTTTTTCGTTTAAAGGCTGTACATCACCTAATTTCACGATATCTTGCACTTGCAATGGTGGAAACATCAAGAATTAAGTAAATTGTTCGTGTATTTTCGTCTCATTGTTAGTAAATACCATCGAGATTATTAGTATCTGGGTTGGTATCTTAAGTTTGAGGAAGTCGCGATTCATACGACCAATACGCGAGATAATGCGCCACCTGACAGATATAATGTTACATAAACAGATAAATCTCTGTCTATTTACCTGCCAGTTGATACGGACATGATTGTCGTTAGCAACAATCAGCTTTGCTGGAATGTCATCCCGGGAGATTCTATATAGATCGCGTTTTTAAACCTGTCAAAATTTAAAATGGTTAGGATTCATCTTGGACTTCCATGGAGGTAGACTTGAGTGAAGAAAACGCGAACACCATGAAAGAAAGAAGTTGAGCGTCCATCTCGAACTATTAAGACTTCATGAGGGTGTGGGTTGCGTTGCCTTTTTGTGCCCCTGCGCAGTACACGTTTTAAGATTCAAGAAAAATTTCGTGTTTAGATGGTTTGAGTTACTTATGAAACAGCCTTGTTTGAACATTTGTAACTAAGGAAAACAAAAAATACTAAATGAAACGTGCTTTGGATCGCAATTATTTTCATCGTTAAAACATCGTTCTTCTATTATTTTTGCAGGAATGTATAGTTTCAGTTGAACAAACCCGGGTGAACAAACGGGCTCCGAAAATGCCCCAACACAGAGTGGACTGACTCTGTCGAGCAGGGTATTTTCTTGGGGCAGTGCATTAGACTGTATCAAACTGCAGTCTGTCAGATGTAGCAATAAGTCTCTGGCACGTTCTACGGTTCGATTATTTAGACTTTTTATCTGAGATAAGAGTTCTCCCCTACCTTGATATTTTGACATCCATCTCAATACTTATCTTGTCTGTTGATGACTAACTAGTCTAATTGAAGAAAAAACATTTTAAAGTCTATTAAATGCCTTTTAACCGACGTGATCTCAGAACATCGTTTATCCTAACAAAGAGGAACATATCCGCGCCTTTGTGTCCCCACGGCTCACCGCTTATTCCGATATAAAAAATGACATAAATCCAAAAGGTGACAGTTAATATTATTCATATCTATTTACATTACAATTTGAAGATTTCTGGGGTATAAACCAAACGCAACCACAATTGAAGTACCCAGTTGAATAGCACGGTTTACGTCAACTCTGACACGCGCCCTTCGTAAATAAATACTACCGCCTGCTCTATGGCGAAGGTCCTAATTAGCCCAATTATTTAGATAGGAAGATGAGACCTAGAGACCACAATGTTAATCTATGATTTACGTGTTTCATCCCGAAGACAGTAGTTCTAACATTATGCAAGATCAAGCAACTTGCGCACATGAAAGTGTTTCTGCCTTCTTTGGACACAGGCCCTATTTCAAATTGCCGAATTGTTCTTAAAGTCTGTGTTTGTCGTATAAAATTAGCGTCCCTTTGATAAATCCTTCTGTTGTCAATTTTTTCAGAAAATTGGGTTATATTTTGATTTTAGACCATGCCAACATTTCAGAAAGATACAGAACAGACATTATCGATTTTTCAACATGTGAAGTGGGCAGGAACATTGGACGTAAAATCAACAACCAGTGGTCAAGCCCCTGGCTTTTTATCCCCGAGTGCTTAGAATGAGCTGAATGTTAATGAAAATGAAAAATGTGGTTTTGATTTCTTTTCACAACATTTCTATTTAGAATCGCATAAATAAATCTCTTCGCGGATATATGATCGAATGGATGACAGGTCCTAATTATCGTGTTGACACAGGGAGATGCACACGTCAGATTGACATCCGAGTCGACCCTACGCCCCTCCTTTATAAAGAATACAAAACTTAGGGCCATCTTACTTTATTTGAGTTACACCAAAGGTGCTAATTTTAATACAATTTGTGTATAATTAAGCCTAATGAAGACCGAACGACAAGGGCGTTATTTCAAACAATAAACGTCAATTTTGAACCCCTGTTTCCTGACGTTGGTCAATGAATAATTAAAACTGCGAATTTTCCAAATATGTATAAAATTTCGGTCGGGGCCTTAAGACAGGTGCTTCATCGCAACGCATCAACTATGTGTGAAAATTTACAACTTACAACTTCATTTTAATCTACGATCTGCAGTATGTCAAACAATCTACGTTTTCCCCCACGTATGATGTCAAATAACTCATTAAAATGAGATAATTACAGATGCTTTTTCGTGACGTTTCTGTTAGGTCACATCTCCTCCCTAAAGTTTGTTATTCGAAAGTTGACCTTTGTGCCCTTATCTCAAGTAGCGCCAATCTCTAATAATTGAAGGTATTTGAATATTGAAGGTATTTGAATATTGAATGTATTTGAATATTGAAGGTATTTGAATATTGAAGGTGTGTGAATATTGAAGGTATGTGAATATTGAACGTATTTGAACATGAATTCTCTATTTTTGTATTCAGTTGAAGTGTGGAGCTTTTTGTAATTTTTTTTAATTTTTGTTTAGAATGGGTCTGTTTTTGTTTTTCTCCATTGGTTCGACTCCATGCGCCCTTCCGCATTCAATAGGAGCTTCTTCGTCAACCATTTTTGATATGCTATTTTATTCTTTTACTTATTGTTTCAGTGTGTTTAAATGGTGTGATTTCATCACTCAAATGTTGCCGATTGTGTCCACCGACTATTTGCGGAACTGTCACCGCAGTCTATTTTTTATTTATATACGCTAAGCTATTTTTCTTCGCCTTGTTCAGAATCGGTATCGGCAGTCTGTTCGCATCTTTACTTAATTCTAATTAAGGGCAGTGATGGATGAAATTCCACGTGAGACAATACGTGGACCTTTGAGGCTCATCCGAGCTTCGCCGCTAATATTATTAGTGGAAATTAGATAGATGAAGTTGGTGTTAAATCTACCGAGCAAGATTTATATAAATCGCTTCAGAATTGGAAAATGAGCGCCCATTAAGAATTGGGTACTAATAAATTGAAACGGTCTCTATACTTTCTAGCGTTATGATCTGAATCAATTATTTATGCTAACTAAAATGAATTTGCGAATTAAAGTCAGTTGGATTAATATGAAAATATTTGTTCTAAAGATGAGATTGGTTTTTTGCATCAAAAAGTGTTCAGATGAGTAGGCTCATACATTGTTGGGATCTAAGTAATTGGGGCTTGATTGGTTTCTAAATGTCTCTCCCCGGAAATGAAATGTTGTGCGATGATGTCCTTCAATTCACAATCAAGCAAATGTGAGTGGATATGACGACCATGTAGGGCAACGTCATCGTCGCTTTCCACTGGGTCTAGAGATGTAAGAACAATCGAAACCTTGTGAATCAAGATGGGGCAACGTGCGGCAACACATGCGTATGACTAGTGTTTCGGGTAACACATTGGGCAACACTTTAAACCCAAAACTCTTAAAATTGAACAGAAATGCAAAACTTTATTTTCGATTTTTGAGCGGTTTTAGATCAATGTACAGAAGTAATCGAAATCGCAAAACTATGAGGTTTTCTAACAATCAAAATCAAGTTAGTTGAAAAGGGAAAAGTTGCACGGGAGATTTTAGAAAATGAAATTGACTCAGAAGAAACTTTAGACGTTTTAAGATCTGACGTGAATCGTAATACCAAACCACCTCGTTACTTGATACAATTAGATGAGCTGACATTTAATGGGAAGACCTTAGAGACCGTCAACGATAAAGTTTGCTAATCCCCGCACAAAGGGACCTAAGGTTGCTTATTAGACAACTCCTGGAAGGCAATGGGAATGTCGGGGCATAAAATCAAGTAATAAATTGGCATTTAACTTTCGCTAATTGATGAACCGAGAGCAGTACTGCTAATCCGGGCTTGTAAATGGCATATACAAATCAGCAATGAATTCAAAAAGCTTGAAATTGAAGGCTTTAGTATTCCCATTCTATAATTTAAAGAAGTTGTGTTTCCATGACAACCAAATATTAGCAATACATTGCTTTTTAGAATTTTTGTCTTATGTCACTTAATCTCGTGATTGGCACAATAAACACTTTTTCTGTCGGAAATTAGTTTGATTTGAAATGTCGTTTGCTATTTACGTCAATGAGAGTTCCTTTTATTAATAGCGGTAGAACCATTTAGAACGTTGAATAAAACTATTTTTCTTGATGGACCTTTAGTGATAATGTATGATACGCTTGCCACTTCCCCCTGGCAGCGCTGAAAGTGAGTGCTTCGCGCCCTAATGGATTTGGACAAAGCGGCACGAGGGCATAGAAAAATTGTTCTCCAATCCCTTCCTTAAATTGCGCTTGTCGTGTAGAAAAAATTGGTGAACGCCTGAACGGCGGTACAAAATTGACGTTTATTGTTTAAAATAGGGTCCTTGTAGTTCGGTCTTCATTAAACGTGAAGAAACGTGGTGTTTTGTCAAATGTGGTGAGGTTCTCGTATGCTTTTTGATACTTATCATCTAACCACCCAACTCTAACTCTTGCAAACAAAAACGTTCTCTTGGAACAAAATCAACAAAGGGACGGCCCAATATTTGAAATCTCGTGTGGTAAGGTAAAATGACTGAACGCACGCCCTTAATCTAAAAACGAAAACGTTCGACCGCAAACATACCAAAAACGCGCTTGGAACTAAAGCCCTAGTAAATTAAATTCCATTCAATCAAAAGCCAATTTTGTGAATGAGACCTCCACCATGAATTCCATTTCTTTTGTTCATCATACAATTTAGTAGAGCAGCATCCATTCACCAGATGCTTTTAGAACTCACAACCGAATACTGTTTACCTTTCTCCATTCACTTCTCCATGTCTTAATTAATTCTATTTTTGAATGACTGGTATATTTAAACGATTCATTATTGTTGTCATTAATTGGATTTCTCGATTTTTTTAGAGCTACAATTGCGTGTAAAGTGACTACACTTCCGCATTGTATCGGGGCTCAAACCGCTTATATCCTTAACAATTTGGTGACATCCTATATAGGTTAGGCCTGCCCATAAAAACAATAATACGGCGAGAAAAATGACTTTGCACTTATATGATTGGAAAAATCGCGGATTGCTTTATTTAGAATTAGAAAAAGTAATTGATAAGTAGTTCTTCAAGGGCGATGTACCAATTTATCTAATATAGTAATAACCAATGTCGAGATTGGATAAACGAAGGATAAACTCAAGTGGCGTTTATTCCATATAAGGAATCTATTTAGCTCTCCTACTTCAGCTGCTAATTGTTATTAATATTGGATAATGTATATATTTTTTATATCAAATGAAATTTGCCGCGAGTACTCGGTTTATTGGTTAATGCAATTGTTGAATCTTCTACATATACCGTCTCTATTTACATGTAGTCTGTCATCTATTGGGTTAGCCCAGACTATGTTATTTTTATTGACTATGATGCAAATGTACACTCCCCTAAGAATGTTTCGCAATCCTGTGACCACTGAATTACATGTTAAATACTGTTTTTGTCTAATTAATCTTCACAAATTAAGCCACCATGACTTTGATAAATGAAAATATTACGTAACCATTGGTCAAAATATGCACATTTTCATGATTTTTCTCATTTCAAGTGGGTGCAAATAGATTTTCAGGTGGGTGCAAGCATATTTTCAAAATCTCAGGTGGGTGCTGCGCCCACTTGCTTTAATGTTGGGGAGATCACTGCATTGAATAAGCAGATGAAGCCTGATGTTCAAGTCTCAATTAATTTTTCCAAAAAAGGGCTATGTATTAATATGACTTTTGTGAATGAAAATTTGAAGCCGGCTTTAATATGTGGGGCACTTATGCAGCGAGGATTGCTAAACTTTTTAGGGGGGTGTATCATCTGATAGATATAACACAATCAAAAACCACCTTCATCGTATTATGTATTACGACAAATATAAAAAATGTCTGGGAGAAAGATGCAGCTCATTATTTCTGGACCACCCGAACAGTTTCTGTTTTGCATTCGTCGACATTTTGATTTCGAACATGTTTTTCCGTATTGTGTTTGGTATGCTTGAGATGTGAGAACTAGAAATTCAATGCTATCAAAACACGAACGTTTTATTCGCAACTAACATTTGACTTCTTGTTTTTACTTGTCGTTAGAGGAATCAGATCGAGCGTCAAAGATAATGATTGGGTGTCAAAGATCATATTTAGCCGCTCTATATGCGGTTTGATTATCAGGCAAACCCGTTTAGATTTAAGGAATAAATAATGATAGGCCATTCAATATGGTGAAATTCAGCACGAGTTGGACAGAATGTTGTACAAAGCACGAACCGAAGGTGAGTGCATTTGTACTAACATTCTGTCCAACGAGTGCTGAATTTCACCATATTGAATGGCCTATCATTATTTATTCCGATTCAAACATAAAAATTAGTAAAAGCCGTGTCTGTGGAACGGGCATGAAGGAAGAATACGCATGCTGTCTAGATTCTGAAGTCGGCCGGAAAAATTTTAGAATTTGTTTGGGCTGTTCTATTTTACTCCCCGTTTTAGATTTTATACGGTGTATAACTTGAAGTCAGCCATAGTTAAATAGTTACAGTAGTTACGGAGGGAGTAAAAAAGAACAGCTATCCCCGGACAGAGCCCCAGATGTGCAGCTGAGATGTGACGTCACTTAAAACAATGCAAATTGCAGATTAAATAGAGCATGGTCGTGCATCTATGGAGAATTAGAGAACGTTCTATATTGGCTATGCTGCATTCTGATTGGTTGAGAAATTCGAATAGAGCACGGTCATGTTTGAATAAGTAACAAAATACCCTAGCCAATTACTCAGAAATTTTACAATTACATTTTGCGCCATTTAAGAATGTCTTTTCTGAATGTCTTCTTATATGGAATGAAAAAAAATTAATAAATTTTGAAGAACTCATGTAGCGTTTCAAGTGTTGACTCAATGTCTTGTTCAAAAGTCTTTGAAAGTATCTAAGATGAACGGTTTGATACTTCAATCACTTGACTAAAGTTTCAAAACCAGAAGTAAACACATATGTCTGTTAACGAATGATGGCCTTCGAGAAAATGTCGCAGTTCTCCTTAAAAACAGTCAGTTCAGAAAAAACTAAATTCCGATTTTATATTAAATATTCTCCTTTCATTTCTACTAAAATGTTTGGGAAATACATATAATCTCGCATTCCTGAGGAGCCATAGAGATGGCCATAGAGGACAGACCACATGCAGTACTCACTGTGTAATTAGTTATTTTTTAGTTGTTTCTTTTACGATTTCGTGCTTTGCAACTTTGCTACTATTGACGAGCACGTATCTCTCGATTTGATTTTCAAATAAAATATGACTATACCATTAAAATATATTTCTTAATTGAAAGGGGTAACTCTAAAGAATAAGACAAGTGTTTAAATAATCTATACAAATTTGATACGATATTTAAATATTAACATTTGTATTAAATTCGCATGAATGCTTTAAAATACACGAATAAAACACACGTGTGTTCTTTTATATACACCTAATTAAAGAAACATTATTATTATCATTTCGTAAAATGCCCCCCAGGCGTTCTGGTGTTCATGAGTCGGAACCTTTAAAGATTTCAAGTTAAATAAACACAAAAAAGAATATCCCAAAACATAGAAACGTCGAATTACGCTATTCGTTGTGTGTTCACATATGAACAAAATGAAGCTCGTAATGTCTCTCGTGATATCCCCAGGGATATCCCACAAATGGCGACATTAAAATACGACATAATATAGACACACATAAACCATCATTTACCGGTAATAAATAAAAATGATATAGGTATAACTTAATAAATAAATCATGGAAAATGGCAGTGTAAAATAATTACTATACTTACCCGACTGAGATTCTGGGCTGATGGGCGCTTGTATCCCAAGACCTAGGAAAGTCTGGGGTGTGTTATGGAACGACATAAAACTGTGTCGCCATGGTGGAAAGCTGGTAGGGCTTGAGAGAGGGCCGGAGAGCGTTCGTGGAATGAATGGCGTGTCAGTGCGTGCCCTGATACTCTCATGTTGTGGCCCTAGTCCTAAAAGTTCTTGGATCGCGAACGGAGATCTCTGCAGCGAGGCTGTTGCTGCCTGGTACGGCGTCATGTGTGTCATGTGTAGTGCCCCGGGGGTGGGGGTAGTGAGTCCTAGTGAATGGTGCGGTGGATGCGCTGTTATATTCATTCTTATCCGTATTGCGTAACTCCACCTAACAGTCTACAGCAATTGATGAATTTACTACTTATTTATAATAGAATTATTGTATCTAGCAGTGATTCCGGATTCTTCCAATTGTTTCGTCTTAGTTATAATTACCATAGAAATATTTACTATTTGAAATGAATAATTGAGTAAGTGTTCGAAGGTCCTCGCATGAGTGTGTCAAAGTGTTACAATCTGATCTATCATACGTCGCTCAACATTTATAAACTCCCGGCTGCACCCCCGTCATAATTAGCATTTGTCTTTTAGGAAAATTACCGCCTCCTCTAATTGAACACCAATGGTTTTGTTAAAGTCCGCTTTGATTTCTAGAGTCGGGAGCGCTTGCAGCAGATCAGCGGCTGTCAATCAGTTATTGAAGCCAAAGCATGGTCGCTGAGTGGCTAGCTGATTAGCTATGCGCGCATCAAAGCAGATCATTAGTTAGAAAGCTTTCTGCTACCAGGCTTGCGATGTTTCCAGGGCGATGTACATTCCTACATTCATTGCAAAAAAAGATATACCTCGATATGCGGATCAACTACTGAGTTGCTTGCTATCGTTGGCAGGTCCGATGATGCTACAGGTGAAACGAGTCATACTAAGCTGTATGTTTACAATTACGTTCATTTTATAAAATTTTGCATTTTCCTGGGTGTAACGATTATTCAGTTTTCTGTTTATTTTGAAATTTAGGGTTAGGATCTGAACCTTAAGCAATTTTATCAAATGCAGTTTTATCAATAAATTTTTACGCTAATACTTCAGATATTTGGTATAGTTGATTTGCTATTTTTGAACCGTTGTGGCTTACTCTAATTGTCAGAGACATCAACGTTTTTATTAACTAGAGAATTATTTCGGAAGGATTTTCAGAAGGGTCATTTTCATAACTAATATTATTATACGTTTTATTGTCTTTTTTTATATCGGTTTGTGTATTTGTCCATATTTCAATGCAGATCTCAGACCATGGAAGGCAGACTCATAATCTAAAAATGATTCGAAAGTACGGTTAACTTAATTTACCGCATTGCAGGATTGACGTTTTAAGCTACCACAACGTCAAACCATTCGTCATAATTTTCCATAATTCTATAGCAGTTCATACCGACGTCTATCACACTCAATTGTTTCATTTGATTAACAATTACTTCAATTGAGATGTTATATTCGTTATCAATTTGATAATCGGGCCCTCGTTCCATCGATATTAATTTAACTTTCATTCATTTCGCCATCGCTGTGGCGATCACTATAATTCAATTAAGTTTTCATTATCCTAATGAATTTATTTAATATATTAGATACGTCTAAATGACTCTGACAGTTGCTAACATTTAGATTGGCTAATCAAACCATAGCCATATTGTATAATTGCTTTCTAATAAATATATTTCAAGTGTATGGATCGATTGTGTTCAACCATGCAAAACCAAACCCTATAAAACGTATACATGACGAAACCTTGGTGTTTAGATTGAGTGGGCTCATCCATGCAAATCAAACCCCTTAAAAACGTGCAAATGAAAAAAAGCCCTGTGCTTGGATTAATTGTGTTCAACAAGCAGAACCAAACCCCGTAAAACATACAAATTGCAAAATCAGAAAGAAGCATGAATGTAACCATGGGTTGACGTTTAATAAAACAAAACGCATGCGTAACAAAAACCAAACACAAACACATATGAAAACAGTATAGCCTTTATTTATGAGAGAGTTCAAGAATCTCTTTGTTAACTTTAATTTGCGTGGTCTCCCTCTATGATTTATATGGTACTTTACTCAATCAGGGCCAATATAATAAGGGCATATAGAAAAGAGACCACCTTGACCATGCATCAGTTTTTAGAATAGGTTTAGAATTAGAGAAATCATTTATTGATTTTGGTGATTAAAAACGTCCATCGTGAGCTTTGACAACAGTTAATTATTTTGTGAATCTCGGGGAATCGGACACTGCTCTCTCTTTGGCCAATTGGTAGTAATCACATTATCACTGTTGTTTTAGACCATGTTGTACACGTGTCTTAAAGATGTCCGCCGCACAATTCCCGGTGGTAGCTTGTAGAAGCCCTATGTAAACCACGTTAAAACAACGAAATCAAAGTTAAAGAAACATGTTAAATGATTAACTTTTACAGCGTGTTGTAGCCTATTAAGGCTGACTGGGTTGATTTGTTCTATGGTAAGGTGGACCACATGTACTAGATTTGAACTTCTGAGGTTAGACTTAAAATCATTTTCACTTGGGGGATAAAAACATAAAATATTTGAATATTCTCATTGTGTGCAGTGGCAATAGGATAATGATACTTATAAGATAAAAATAATGAAATTAAGAACGAACAGCACCTTCCCTACCCGCACAGGCCCAGCACAAAAATAGCACACAGCACGATATGGACATAGCACAACACAAAATATAGCAAATAGCACAGAGCATTATGTGGGCATAGCACAACACGAAACGTGACACAGAAATAGCACAGAGCATTATGTGGGCATAGCACAACACGAAACGTGACACAGAAATAGCACAGAGCATTATGTGGGTATAGCAAATCACAAAACATGATACAGAAATAGCACAGAGCATTATGTGGGCATAACGCAACACAAAACATGACACAGAAATAGCACAGAGCATTATGTGGGCATAGCACAACACAAATCATGACAGAGAAATAGCAGCATTATGCAGGCATAGCATAACACAAGACATGACACAGAAATAGCGCAGATCATTATGTGGGCATAGCACAACACAAAACATGACACTGAAATAGCACAGACCATTATGTCAGCATAGCACAACACGAAACATGACACAGAAATAGCACAGGGCATTATGTGGGCATAGCACAACACAAAACATGACACAGAAATAGCACAGACTATTATGTGAGCATAGCACAACACGAAACATGACACAGAAATAGCACAGAGCATTATGTGGGCATAGCACAACACAAAACATGACACAGAAATAGGGCAGAGCATTATGTGAGCATAGCACAACACAAAACATGACACAGAAATAGCACAGAGCATTATGTGGGCATAGCACAACACGAAACATGACACAGAAATAGCACAGGGAATTATGTGGGCATAGCACAACACAAAACATGACACAGAAATAGCCCACAGCACGATGTGGACAAAGCACAACGTAAAGCACAACATGGCCAAATCAGAAAACAAAACGTTGCACAGAAATAGCATACATCACGATAGGGACATAAAACAACACATATCATAGCATGGCCATAGCAGAACATGAAGCACAACGCGGAACTAGCACAACACACAGCACGATATTGACATAACACAACCTATATCAAAACATGGCCATAGCAGAACATAAAGCACAACAGAGATATACTGTAGCACAACCCACAGCACGATATGGACCTAGCACAACATATATCAAAACTTGGCTATAGCACAACATAAATCACAACACAGAAATAGCACAACACATAGTACAACATTAACATAGCATAACACAGAGCACAACATGTAGAAATGATGATAATTAAACCATTATAAAGGAAAAACTGAATTCCTAATTTCTACAAAATAACAAACCAAACCCATTTCACAACAAACCAGAACCAACCTTTTAGATATCGAATGCTAGTGGTACAATATAAATTGAAATTGAACATTAAAGTGACCCGTAACACAATAACCTAATATAACATTAACCTAATGAACTTGTATATATTTATTGATTATTTTATTCAACGTGCGTTTGTTAAGTTTGCGCGCTCAATGGTGAAAAGAAAACTATTAATTTTTAATTATTAGAATAATGTTTATATTTGCCGAAATATATAAAACAATAGATAATATTATCAAAATAGCTCTCGTGGTCTAATTGAATTTTACTCTCGAGGAACGAGGGGATATTTAAAAGCAAAATTGAATAGCAATTTGGCAATAAGCATATTTCAATGTGAAGCGAAGAAATAACAAAACAGTCCCAGAGGTCCTTCAGATTTGATTCATATATCTCAATGATCCTCGAGTGCTCTCATCTGCTATTAGACCCTAACTTCATAGTAGTTCAATTTGCATGTTTAATTGCTTATGGTAATGAAACGCTCTGTGTTTTCTTAAGACTTTTCATTCAGTTTTCAGAAGAGCACTTAACGGCTCTGTCGACCATATTGTGTTTATGTCTTTATATTGCTCTGTTTAATTCTATGATAAAGGTGTACCAAAACAACGAACGCGCATATTATGACATCTTAGAGCTGTACCGCTTGATCGTAGTATTGCATCAAGATTCGACCCATTCTCCCTCAATCACCTATTTTCCAAACAAGACCCTGAGTAAGAGAACATGTGGGTAGATGGGTTAATTACTTATTTCTAACAGACACTGTTAATAACAAAACGTAAATTGAAAAACTCTGTAAAGCTGACGATGATATGACGCACAATGTAGGCCAATATATCTGGATACACGTTACCCTGACGCCAAGCGGTTAATAATAACAACTTGATGTCGAAGTTATCTTTGATAGGTGCGTAATCAAGCTTAACTTTTGAAAAGGGTGTATGCACGTACAGATTGCGATCGTTGTGAATATATGGGGAGTACAGCAGTAAATAGTACTATATCGTGGTATATTATAGTGAAACCGTTTTATAAAACGGCAATGGAAAATTATCCAACTATCCAAAATGTCAAGTGCTTTGCACTTTAAAGTTTAAACAATCCCCGAACAGATGTTCCGAACAATCATCTACCCACATATATTAAGGTTTTCATGACCCTGACACTCAATGAGTATCTACCCTAGATAAACACAAACAAATGCATCAATTTTCCTATTAAAAGCGGTTATGATTTCATTGAGTGGGACGCTGTAAGATTCGCACTAGTTAGGCCAATTTCTTGGATGTAATTACGGGGTCTATACTCGTTAATTGATGGTCGGAATTGCCTTAAACGTACTACGCGGGACACCTATTGTAGCCCCGGCTAATTACATCCCAAGCAATCTATCGACACATGGGCATGTCCCACCCGGCAGAACGTGGCAAAATTGTTCATATTTAAATTAAATTGCACTACCATAAAATCAGAAATGTATCAAAAAGAAACATATAAATATGATAAAATTCAAACACGTTCAGTGTATATAATAAGAGTTAAAGGTGCAACAATTAGTGCAGGGGGGGGGGGGCATTCAACGATAATCGACCAGTGTCAAAATATTTTTTTTAAGTTAGGATACTTCATCAACATATAATTTCATTATCTACAAAGAAACCCCCTGGATGATAGCTCAGAAAAAATAAAATTTCTCTCTACAGTCCTTGTTGCCCCTTTGAGTAGGAAAATACCATAATATTGCAAATATAAGAATGATTAAATTAAGTTTTGTTTTGTTTTTGTTTTGAATTTCTCATTGGATTGAAGATATACACGAATTTTGGCCATTTCAAAATGTCTAATCTGTGCCTGTAGGTTAATAAAAGATCTTTCTTATGCTGAAGGGTCAAAACTATTTTTCATACAAAACAAATATAATGTAAAAATGAGTAATTGCTTTTGCCAAGTTCATTTAGAAATTATACACTCCCCTCCGAAGGTTTGGCAACTTAGACCCCTTCCCAATTGTGCCACATGTAAAAGCCAGTTTGTGTCGGGCAATTTCCAACAAAATCCATCACATGTGTTATAAGTTAGTAATTAGACCTATTGTTATTTGGGGAAAGTCTAACATCTAAAATTAATCTATCATAAATAGGCTTAAATATGAAATAGGGAGCTGATATTGTCAAACTTTTGTAGGGGAATGTACAGGTCTTTAAAATGATGAGATGAGACGTTCTGCAATACCTGTTGGAATGCTAGTTTTAAAGATGCACACTTGGATCTTATCACGAAATTCAACACTTGTTTTGGCAACTTTTTTTCCTTAATTGTGTATTAGTTTATTTAACTGATAGTAGAGTCGGCATTACATAGACCATATGCCAGTTTCAAAGATATATGATAAGATACTGACTGCAGATCAGATAGGCACATCTTAAGGATACAATGCAATGGAAAAAACGTCAACGAGGTAAGTGCGTATGGCGCATACTTATTAGCCACCCCGACAACCTCAGAAAACGTGGTTAATTAGGTATTTGGAAATATGTAAGTGAAGAGAGGGATTCTCTTCAATTTGAAGTATTTCCTAGGGCTGTGAGTAGACAAAGATGCATCTTTTTCGTGCAGTGTTGCACTGGTTGATGCTTCGGAATAAAAACAGTGAATGCAATGTCAAATTAGTTCTCCCTGTATGCGCTTAATACCCCCTGTTCCTTAAAAAATCATCAAAATGGACTTCTTCGCACGAGTGCCCGTCAAAGATAACATCAACTTTATTAAGCATACCATCAAGCACTTCAATGTTTTTCATCTGTCCTCTCAATTTGAAACAATTGCCCTAACTATATTTTTCTTGGCGTTGTTTGTGAAAATTGAGCTGAAAAAAGAACGACTTAGTGTCAGGTTGCGGAGTGTCGCGTGGCAAACACACCAGAATCCAAATACCTGGGCGTATCAACAAACCACACTGTGGATTCTTAGAATGTTTTGAAAAACTTAGACCCTGTCATCCCACTCATTTGATGTTTCAAACTCAATACGTAACTTCATATTGTTGATACATAATTTCAATGCGTTATAGGGAGGGTTCTATTAGTCTTGTAAGATAATATATGTATACCCATACCTTCTTTACCACAGACTCTAATACGGGAATGGCGGTGATGGGGGAGGGGGTGCGGCATTGTTTTGTTACATGAGTGTGGGTCTATATGTTATTCTAACATCCATTGTCCCATCGATTCGTCTTTTGGAGTCACGAATCCATACGCTTGTACAAAATATCATAATTTCTTCATTGTTTATGCTTTGCATTGGATTGGGGTATTTTAATTTCCTCATATATGGGATTAAATTGTTTTTGTTTAGCTTTTCCATTTTTGTGTTCTATAGAATACACTACTTTACAGATTTAAATACACTTGTAAGGAATCGTCCAAAGTGAAGATTCTCTACGCTAACTGCATGCATGCTTTCACCCGTCCCATTTCAAAATATTTCGTTCGTTGGTCAACAGGCTTCTTGATATAAGAACATGTTAGTTCTTTTATTTTGGAATTTTGCGGTGATCTCTCCCCTCTTGGCCAAGTCATCTATGTCGGTACTTTATTTATCCAGGGATGTATCATATTCACAGGGGTCGGTATCACTCCGCGTATCATCACCCTTGTTTGAAACGTCACTGCGTTCATGCTTATTCCAGGATTTTTCTCATCATGAGCTCTGAAATCAACGTTGTTTTAGGAGTTCTCTACTATTCGGTGTGGATACTCCATTCCCATCCCTTTGATTCCATGCTAATTTCATTCTATTTCACGATTTATTGACGATTTGATGATATTTTGTTGACGGGAATGCACCTGTCTTACACCCCTCACCTCTCATTTCAGTGACAATTGTGACGTTTTAATTACACCCATCTAAATAATAGCAGGTATTGGAGGTCAATTTTTTAAGTTAAGTACGTTACTAATGAGAAATTAAGCGATGACATTTTGTTGACTTAGAAATAAGTTTGCACTTATTTTTATGAATATTTTCTCTTTTAGATTGCATATGTATGATTCAATCATATTTTTATTTTCTTCAAAAATGGTTATATTGTAAGTTTTTCAAAATGATACTTTCTTGTAGTTTCGTTTTCTGATTTTGTTTTAAGTGGAATGTATTTGTCACTTTATTTATCTTTCTAGTCCAAACAATGACATTGAACGAATCCATTGAATGACTGCATTATTGTCATTATATATTTTTATTATTTTATGAAAGCTACATATAAAATAAACTATAAGATGTAGAAATACACATAAATCAGTGGTATTCAAGTTGGAATGCTGTTTTTCAGTAACAAAATAATTAAAAACAGTGCTACATAGAAAAAGTTTCCAGAGCAATTCAAAATGTACGTTTTCTACGTAGATATATCGGTAATGTTTACTCTACTCTCGGAACTGGTTGGTAAATTCAGACCAGTGGGGGCGTTTCTGCTACGGCGGCGTACGTATATTACACCAAGGCTTGCCACAATGGCGACGCAGATGACAAGTCCAGTTGCTAGTAGTATGTATGAAACGCCCATTTCAGACGTACTCGCTTCGCTCCCCTCACCATTCGCTACAAGTGCTGCTCTCTTTCGGCTGTTTCGGCTTGTTGCAAAGAACGACTGAATATGTAAAATTTTAAGATTAAAGTCATGAAAAGACATCATATCATAATGTTTACATTATTTAATAAAAGATGGTGCTGCATATCAAACGAATAATATTTATCTTCAAATGATTAAAGGAATATTCCTTGCCAAACCATCTCTCTCCTCATATGGTAGCTATAACCATATATATGCTTGCCATGTTTAGCAAAACACGCAAAAATGTTTTGATATGGTCAAATTTGATCACTTAGAAATGTGATGCTCAATTCCAAAGCTGCCATCTTTTAAAATTTCACACAGGAAGTGATGTCATCGACTCTCAACTTTGCATATAGCATTAGATGAGGAGCTATTAAGAATTACAAAACCATCTAAATATTCTTTTTCAACTTTGTATCTTATTTAATCCTTCTGAAAATCTCTTCTTTTATTCTAAGTTGACAAGCCCTGAAAATATTTTTGCACAGAAAGTAATGATCACTTGTCTAGAAGTGATTTTGTGCTTCTTTCCTGTACTGTTATGGGCAAGGTTATAGAAGTTGAGAGTTGATGACATCACTTCCTGCAAGAAATCCTAAAAGATGGCAGCTCACTGGAAATAAGCACTAGATTTTTAAATGATCAATATTGACCATATTAAAACATTTCCCCATGTTTTGCTAAATATGGAAACTATATATATGATTATAGCTACCATATCAAGAGAGAGATGGTTTGGCAAGGAATATTCCTTTAAGAGAACATATGCTTGCAGCCTACAATTGTTAAAGATGGAACTACACCAATTTAGTAATCGATCGAAACAACTTTAAAAGATGGCGTCAATCAAAAAAACAGTTGTTTATATTTTTGATACTCTCATAGTTGTGTCCTACTACACGCCCCCTATAAATACGGGTTAGAGATTTATTTAGAAGGATGTTCAAACATTAGTGGGAGAATATGCCAGACTTCACTAGGGATTATAGAGAAAGAGTCAGGCCTGTAGCCAGGATTTGCCAAGGGGGGTTCAGTTTTCCAAAATTTCAAGGGGGGGTTTGCATTTGACAATTTTGGCCCAAATATGGCTGAACTCACTTGAGAAGTGCTCAAAATGGTGAAAAACTGCATGATTTAGAAAGAAATTTTGGCCAGGGGGGAGAAGTCGCCCGAACCCTGCGAACCCCCCCCCCCCCCCCCCCCTGGCTACGGGCCTGAGAGTTAATCCCCAAAGAAGAATAAAAGAGTGTTTCGTTCTTATACTTACGCCAGGGGAACATTGAATACTCTCTTGCTGAGTCCATGCCTGTCTCTTGGATCCGACTGGCTCAAACTATAACAAAGACTATCAAATGTGATGCGGGGTGTAATTTAGCAAAATGATAAAAAAAGATTACCAGGACAATTATCAACATGCATTTTATCATTTGTTATAGTAGCCGAACGCCAACCGTCGAACACAAACCGCCGAACACCGTCAACAAAAAGGTTGGAGACCATAACAATATGCCAACACTTTTGGTGTTGACATGATAGGCAAAATGGTCAGATACTATTATATTTGAGAGGTGACCGAATTTGTCATGAGACCGCTTCATTGCTGTGGTGCAAACATGGACCTATTGCCCTGGAGAAATTAGTCCACATGACCAACAAGACAAACAATCGTCCACCTACAAAATAAATGCTTTCTTGGAAGTTGTCATCGACAATATTTACCCTGACATCATCGGCGAACGGAAGATGCAACCGTTTCTTTAACTTACCATCTGATTCCATAGCGTTGTAGCTGCCTGTTTATGCCCCTTCTCACTGAAATGGAAACAATCAGGGGCGAAGTACGATACATCTGGGGTTCCATCTGGTTTTGTCGGTGGTGTAGTATCTTTAAAGAATGGCTGGAAAACGACGGTGAAGTCATCGCGTCCATTGTATAGACCGCTATCGATTAGTTCTTCCATGTTAGCGTTATAATCCTTTTGTGTTTGGCGGAGCTCTTCTAGGATGTCCTCCTCGCCGTAACCGCAGTCACATACCGCCCTAGAAGAGAAATAAAGGTTGTTTATACGCGTGCGCATTTGTACGGCATGAGGGCTCCAAGATCCAAAAGATCTCTTTTCCCTGGGAAGGAAAACTTTCTCTGGAGCCCTGTATTCGGAACCTGTCATCGTGGGGAATTCCGTTTTTATCAGCAAAAATGATACAGGGAAATATCCTATATCTACTCAGACAATTTAATAAAAAATGTATACAATGATCAAAACAAACTGGGACGAATCAAAACTCAGGATCCATTCAATCACACCATGTTGCACCATTTTGATTTCATGCTTAATAAACGCGGCGCACCTAAGTCCATAACGTCCGTCAAGGTAAACAAGATGGATGCGACAACGAATGGCCAGCTAGATAATGAATACTCCGTTTTTGAACATGTGTGTGAAAACGATTCTTAAACTTACGCTTGGACAACGGTACATATCAAATCTTCGGCTAGGGCTGTCAGGGGTGTTATGTCCAAGATGGACACAACGTTGACGAATGCTCTTGGGACATCGGCGTATAAAATGTCTAAAGCTTCCTTTATGTTGTTACGGTAGTTCTCTGGACTTTTCGCATCCTGTAAAAAATGAATAACATTTGTAAAATGTTATGCAGTTTCTCTTCAAATATAAAATAAAATGAACCATAACTGCATGCTTTATCTCATCTATGCACTGGCGGATTAGGGGGGGGGGCCCAGGGGCCCGGGCCCCCCCCCCTTGGGTGGGCCCAGAAAAAAAAAATTGGGCCCAAAAAAATTTTTGGGCCAAACAAGGCCTTCAGGCCCCAAAAAGTGGGCCTTTTTGGTCATTACTGGGCCTTTTAAGGCCTTATTTGTTAATTTCAGGCCAAATTTTGAAGAAAATGGGCCTCAAAATTTCAAAATTTGGGCCCACTTTTGGATTTTAGGGGCCCAAAATTTTTTTCCGCGCAAGCGCGGACGTTTTTTCTCTGACCTGAAATTTCGGCCCCCCCCTTGTTGGTTCCTGGATCCGCCCCTGCTATGTTTCGTTATTAACTGACTAGCTTTATGTAAGGTTTTAAGAATCGATTCAATCAACGATCAGATCTTGAATATCCAAGATTTTATCGTCAGTTTCTGCCATTTTACTGCGACTTATAAATTATATATCTGTCACTCTGAACATTCGAGAGGTGAAAAATATTCAATATGCAAAAAACATCATGAGGCTGAAAATAACCCATGCATACGAGTATATCCAATGTAATTCACAGAAATGAGTTTGAAAATGGAAATGAAATAGATAAAACAGTTATCTTAAAATGGCAGCTTTTGGCCCACATACCCTATCATTGCAGACGGCGCAGAGATCATTTCCACCAATGAATAGAGTGATGAGTTTCCAGTCGTTTTGGAAATCAACATCAGATCTGGACGCCAAGCGCTGTACAAGATTCCGGGCTTGTCGTGGCATATCACTATAAAATATTGAAAAATAATACACCCCCTCCATAAGTCTGGCAAACGGATGTCCTGCTTTGGATCGCTTATCAAAGTCTGGTTTTGTTTGACGATTTAACATGCTTTGAAGTGCTATCCGATGAATAGTTCAACCTGACAAACTTATTGAGGGGCGCGTAGTTTATTTAGGACAACGGGGAAAAATCCCTGGGACCATATTTTTCACATCGATAGGGAGCCGGTAATTGTGCTTTCTCCGAGTACCTACATTGCAATGTTGCCTGGCTCAGCTACGTTCAGCCTCGCCCCACTACTTTCCACACCCCCTTCACCTACTGAGTAACCAACAAGATTTGGGTTGAGAGTCCTCAGGATGTCTAAAAAACAAATATGGCAATCTTAACTTCCTGTAAACCATAGTATCACCATCTCTCAAAATAGAAAGGCGATATTAGGCTTCTGGAATATCCTAGATGCGAGTAGAAATAATCTTGATTTACGTCATTAAAAATTCAAAATTCAGTCAAACTGACGTCATATTTTGAATCTACAAGTTTGTACATGTAAAATTACATCTAGAAATATAGTTTTGAAAAGAGTTTATCAACTTTGAAAATTTAATTTTCTTTGAAAATGTGACTTCTAGGTCGGGGAGATTCCCCATAGCCCCCATGTTGGAAAATCACAAAAATGGAAATATCTTTTCTTGTGCTGGGCAGAATATTTTTTTTACTGGACATATTTTAATTTGTATAACTATCAGATACATAAGGGTAATATGAAAAGTGAACCACTAAAACTGATAAATATTCAAATTTAAGGGAATTTTGTAATGCCCTGCCATGTTATTTCCCCCGAATCAGCCACCTGGTGGCGAAACTGGTAACTACCTACTCGCATCTGAGTAATTGTAGTAAGAAATTCATGATTGACAATTCAAAGTAGTTTTAGTAAGAAAGCTTTGCGACTAGCTTTCTTTAATATCAAACCAGATAGTGTTTCAGAAACACAAAAAAACGTCAACAAGTGACACAAAACTGGAACAAAAAAATTATCCATCGTTTAAATTATGTAAAACATCGTAGAAGTAGAACAAAAGATCCTTACTTGGTATTGTGGAAACCCCTTGGCTCAGACTAAGATCACCGCCAACAGACCATGAGCGCCCTCTGTACTCCGTAAGACAACCAAATACGGTAGTAGCAGATGCCCCATTAGCAGCCTAAACAAAATAGTGTCGGTAGGTTAGCCTTCATATATTTGAACTTAATATACATGATACACGTCAACACATGTTTTTGCAAATATGATGCAAAACTTTTTTCCAAAATCCCTGGCCCGGGCAAGTTCAATATATTTTCTTTGGACGAACGCTCCTTAGTCTCAATGGTGTGCAAATGCACAATAACAGATGTTTTTTTCATTTCATTATACATTTTGGACACCCTGTACTTACAGTAATGGAATCGCCAACAGCGGCAACGACGTTAATATCTCCAGGCAACAGTCGGTGTACTAGAAATAACGAAATGATAGGTATACGAGATATCACAAAATTAATTAAATACAGTATAATATATAGATGGTGATACATATTGTATAATTACTTATACATAAAAGGGATGTATATCATGTTAAGTGCGTACTAAGGATGTGTAATCATACTAAACTATCACTCTCTTTTCTTTATTTCTATGAATACTCATGATACTAACAAACAATTTGTTGTAATCATTTCTTTGTTACATTGGCCCCTTGGGCCTGTCGAGATACCCCCCCCCCCTTCAAAACGAGAAAGGGGTTACATGAGTTGTGTTCATTGTACAGATTGTAACTAAAACTCATCGATTTTATTAAGATCTTTTTACGACAACGTTTATGGGACGCGTACTTTCATCTTTATGATTTGAGGTTAACGCGTCCTTTTTTCGACAACATGGGACGCGTCCTACATTTAATATGATTAAGGAGACGTCCTATTTGTTCGCAAGGGGACCTCACTCAGACGAAATTCTTCCTATTCTCATTGGAGAGAGATCTGGGAGCCCAACACATAAAGGTTCATTTTGATTTACGTCTAAATTCACTTACTTTAACTATGTGTTTTATGTGAAGTTTATGACACGTTACAGCAAAACGGTCATACATACTGGTTATAGTAATGACATGTATATACGAATACGGTGTATTCTCTACCGTCAAGTTGTTAGTACTTTTTGTACAGGGGCGTGCCGCTGAGATTCAAAATATCTACCCACATCTAGGGACTTTTTCTCTAAAAATGGACGCACATCTAGGGTTTTCTTTCAAAAATAGACCCACTTTAAGGTGTGTTTTAGAAAAAAACACTTCCGGCGATTGTTTTCAAAAACAATACCCAGTTTCAGGATTTCCAAAAAGTAGACCCAGTTCTAGGGATTTTTTTTCAAAATGGGACCACATCTAGGGATTTTTCGGTGAAAAAGTGACCCACTTTAGCGGTACATCCTCATATAGTCAATATACGGAGTAACCCCCCCCCTGGAGTAATATACGTAAGTCTTACAGTGGAACATCGGTAAGGTGAACGCTTGCAGATTGGACACAGTATAGTTCGACCGTATATGGGTTATAGGAGCAGATCTAGGAGAAACAAATCTTGCTCAAAACCATCCCCGTTACAGTTTTTCATCAAAGTGGGATGAGATGTTTAAATTGGGAGATCACGCTATGATATCAAGAGTTCTGAGCGCATTTTGTATTTGTGTATGGTCGGAACGAACCGTTTCGGTAACCAGCGTAATCGAGTGGATCACCACAGTGATGGTGCCATCATTGTGGAGTCTAACTAGTCTTGCTTAGATGTAATAGTCTACCATGGCCCATGGGTGATGTATAATACATAGAATGCTAACCTGAGTCCGGGGCTACGGATGACTTCATCCTACCGCATTTTGCCAAAACCTCGTCGCCTAACATCGCAGCCCCCTATAAAATATAAATCAACTTGAAAGCATGAATATCCAGTTTAGTAGGCTAATGACTTATTGGGTGAATAGAGGTGCACGTGTCGTCAGAAATCCTGGCTGAAACCATTCTGCCAAGACAGAGGTAACTATTTTACATTCAATCGGTCGTAATTTGTTTTCATTCTGCGTCATATTTATGATATTTACAATCGCATTAATGCTAAATTAAAAATGAAGCTAGTTCACAAAATATTTAAAAAAATATGCAAAAAATGAGATTTTAGAGATCAAAAAACAGTTATGATTTTATGAAAAGAAAATCCATCACTTTTAAGATAATTTGACAATATTTTTTCAATTCTATTGAATTTGGGCAATTCTGAATCTTAAGTATTTTATTATTTGATTAGATATCTCGATTTCCTGATAATGATAATTTAGCTAATTAAAAATATGATGATTATTTAATTAAAATTGTTGACATCTGATGATTTTTGGTACCTTATTGATAGGTTCTCTCCACATTTTCTGCCTGGCGTCCCATTCCTTTTGCAAATTTGCATCCCTTTTCAAAACATCTTGTAGTCGGTCATTCGCTTCTTGATAGCGCTCCAAAAAGCTCTTCTCTATAAATTAAGGCGACAGCAAAAATAGAGAGTGTAAAATGTTTGCCGATGTTCCCCATACCATCCTGATTTTATTATCAACAAAAGAATATCTTGTAAATTTATGAAACTGAAATGAGGGTTGCTGAAACGAGGGTTGCCCAAAAACTTTTAAAACTTTTGTTTTTTCTTTAACAATGTTTTTTATGAAATTTTCATCAAATGATCTTACGAGATTTTGATTCTATTCTACAAAAAAAGTATTAACAAGTGTATACATAAATAGACAAAAGGGATTTTTGTTGCACCTATAACTTCATGTTATTGAATTCCTTGAAAAAATCACATCTTTGGGCAATTAACTCAATCTATGAAACTATAAACCAGTCGATTCTTATATAGACTAATTCTTTTGTCTATTTATTGCAAATTTTTGGCATTCAGATGATCTATTTTCAAAAATTATTCATAGTCTGGATTACTTCATTTTGATCTTGATAAATGATATAAATGTTTAACAAGGCATATACATGTATATGCAAAATAGTTGAAGACTATAACAATATGTCACCACTTTTAGGGTGACATAAAAATTAAAATAACAACTTACCAAACGAATCTACCACAAACGAGTTTGCACAAAATACGCAAAGAATGAAAACTCCTGTTTTCATGTTGAAGAATCTTTTGGGTTTGATTATCAAACCTGATCAGGGGCTCGCACATTTCAAACTTTACCCATCAAAAATGTTCCAATGAGTTCTTGCATTTTAAATAGTTTCTTAACTCGAAATGCTAAATAACATTGTTGCAGTTTAAGTTTTCCAGAAGTGAAGATGTTTTCATGTCAAAGTTGAAATTTCATTATAATTTTTAATCGAACAAAAAAAGTTGACATTGCAATACAAAAACACCCAAGGGACGATATCTTTATTGCTTATTTTCCATTGTCCAGCAAGATAATGTATTAATTTCTTTATTTATTTATTTCAGTTGTTATCTGGACAAGGTCGATTTTTATTCTTTTACGATACATTTGTCAACTTGAGAAATGGGCAAATCTGACCGGCCTCCAAAGGATGACTTTTCCCAGACGCCCCGGTAATGACCGACCGCTCGTGTCTTCATTTTAGATTGGGTTAGATACAAATGTGAGCAAATGTCCCATGTTTATGGCAACCCTCCTCTGGTCATTCTCCTTGAAATCAGAAATGTGAAGGTCTGAGACCTTTCTTAGTACATTGGAGAGATGTCAACACAGGCCCGTAGCCAGGGTTTGCCCAAGGGGGGTCACTTTTTAAAAAATTCCAGGGGTCAACTTTGGCCAGTTTTAACTTGCCAAAATCAATTAAAACTGCTCAGAATGGTGATAAACTGCATGATTTTGAAAAATTGTTGACTAGGGGGGACACCTCGAACCCCCTCCCCCCTGGCTAGGGGCCTGCAACACTACTATCTGCCGTATGATTAATTTTCAATTTCATTTGACTTCTTTTACTATAATACCAAATTCCTAATTTTGATTATAATCATTACTTCATTTTCTTGAATTTCGTTTCTTAAGTTGATTACAACACAATTTCAAAGAACCACAAAAATAATTCTTAGTTGACGTTTGGAAACCGGATTGGAATATTTATACACAATGGGGTTACTTATCCATACTCCTTTAATCTAATAAAGCTATAGTTAATCCCATTGTCAGATTAGGACTACAACATGCATTTAAGAGAAAGCCACTCTGGGTCAACATCTTTCCTTGGAGAACACAAATACACTTTTCAACAATGCAGGTCGTTTTACGGAGAATATGCGTACAAAGACTTTAAACAAATATTATTCTAGTGCCATTCAAAGTAACAATTTTATGTTCTTTACTCTTTACTGACTGGATTCAAGGGCAATAACCATTGTGTATTGGTAACGAGACCCAACTTGATTTCGCAGACAGAAAATATCGTATTACTAAATGCGAGTAAAAACGTACAATGAAGGAAGCTTGATGACATCGATCTGTTAATTGAAGGTAGGTTGTTCATTTTAGCTTTCCCATAAAGTTTTCTCTTCGTTATTTTCCGTTCTGGACTCGAAAGGCTAAAAAACGAACCAATTTGAATAAAAATGTCATCAACATTTGCTATTTGCTACCTCAAATCATATCGTATTTTAGTGTTATGTTACTAGTTTCAAGTTGTCTATCGGGTACATCTGTATATAATATTGAAACCATAATCATAAACAATAAACAAGCAGCATATAGATTATTCAGATAGGATTTTTTGTTACTTAATCATACATTTTAGAATTTTCTTTGCATCATAAATTTAGGTGTGATGCCACCGTTACGCAAGCCTCCACCTAAATTGATGGAGAGACCAAGTTTTGAGAGGGAAAGGACAATGGTTCTTAATGAACTTCTTGAACAATCAGATGAACATTTAAGGAAGGTACGTTAAACCTCCAACCATCCTATATTTTGAACGTTCAGTTGGAACAACCGTCTGTAATTGGTAATTTGCATCATTTATTAACTTTGAAAGTAACTTTTTTTCTTGGTATTTTTGAAAAATGTTTATATATTCCATCCATATTTCTTTATCGAATTAATTGTATACTTTTACGTCAATAATTCTTCATGTTATTTATTTTATAGTTCAGTTATTCTAAAGCTTCTAACACAAGGCTTCTCAATAAAATTCGCAACATTTATTTTCTAATACAATTATAGATTCTTAAACAACCCTCCAGGAAAAATTACTCAACTTAAGGTCGTTGCAGCCCCTCCCCATTCATTCAACCGGAGCTATTTCTGAGATGGGGGTCATACTGAATAGTATGATTTCTTTTGTTACATTCCAGTTGGAGTTGCCACCGTTGCAACGCCAGTTCACCAGGGAGAGGACTTTGGTGGGCAATGGGAACCCATGGAACCAAAACGACTGTGCTATGAGAAGCCTGTGCAATGTAAGTTCTGATAAATCAATGCACCTGTTATGTTTTGTGCCTTACTCGATTGATTCAAAACTGAGTAAAACTTTTCCGATCCAATTTTTACACAATGCTTTTTTGATATGCTATAATAGTTTCTAAATATATTCATGATGATAAAAACTCCCAAACTTAAACAGGCAATGCGCCTATTTTTGAATGAAAAAGGACAAAATATTTCTATGTAAGTTCATCTCTCTGGTTAATATATCAGAAACAAGTCAAATTCTTTACTTCAGAGAATATATATATATATATATATTTTTTTTTTTTTTTTTTTAAAATATTCTCTGAAGTAAAGAATTTGACTTGTTTCGGACAAAATATTGTTTGAGACATGTCTCTCACACAGTCAATCAAATATGATAAAAACTTTAATTTGGGATAATACTGAAGTGAAAAAAAATCACTTGCATAGAAAACATCATTTGAAGTTCAGAGATTGAAAAAAGTGAATTACCACTTTTCACAAATAGTGTATGTTTCAAATAACTCTTGGATTAAAAGATGGCGTATGCTTGAAAATCCTGTCAAAAATGAATTGATAATTAATGCAAACAACAATGCCATCTTTCTATGGCATTGCTAAAAACTTGACATATATAAATTGATAGATCAAAAATATTTTGTCATGATCAAGTGTCAACTCTGATGTGGTCTGTTTGAGCTTTTTTTGGTGTCAAATGAAAGATCGGGTACTTATTAATCCATTGGAAATACTATGAAGATCAAAAGTGAGACTTCATTTACGCACTTTGTCCCTTTAATTTTGTTTTAGAAATCAAAACGGGGAGCACGCCACACATTTGCTTCTCCACCTCAAAATATCCCCAAGAAATATCCACACAACACAAGATTAAAGAAATTGGAAACACACAAAGATCCCATAATGGACATATCAATGGACAGGTATTCAGATAATTTTACAATCATCACTGGTGATCATGTAATAACTTTTTAGCGCATAGAACCACATTACCACAATGGCGGATCTGGGGGGGGGGGGGCAGAACAAAAAACATTAGCCCCACAAGAGATTTTGGGCCAAAAAGGCCCACTTCTTGGGGCCTTAAGGCCTTTTTGGTCATTACTGGGCCTTTAAGGCTTTATTATTTAATTCTAGGCCTTTTGAAGAAAATGGGCCTCAAAATTTGGGTCCACATTTTGGTTTTAGGGGCCCATATTTTTTTCTCAGAAGGGGGCAGTAATCCCTAGCGGACCATAGTTTCTTTCACACCAGGGCCTTCAATTTGTGGTGGGGTTTTATTACTTATTCGACGTACCATTTCATTTTAATTTCAATGAAAAATAGCGGATCTCACTAGAGATGTCCATCGAATAACAGTTGATTATGTGACATATTTCTCCTTTTTGATACTAGTAGCCTAATAGCCTTCAAGGAAAAATGTAAAGTTAGAGCTCTGATTGATGCAGAAATTGATGATGCAAATAATGCAGAACAACATTTGTATTCCAATTCACGCTCCTACTTTCTCAATTGCCTAATGCTCTCACATTGCAGATCCTCGTTGGCCCCACTTCCTCGAATTACCAGGAACAATTCGACTTCCGTCACCAGTAAAGACAATACGGGCGAAATATCAAATAGCTCCATACATCAGACTTCACCGTGTAATACAAATACAAACTTTATAAAAGCAACCCAAACAGCAAGCATCGAGAACAGTGGATCTATAGTTAATACGTCGACACATACTGGGGACAATATTGATGTTATTACACCACGGACACATACTGGTGAAAGTATTGGCGCAGCGTCGACACACACTTGAAAGAATTGGTGCTATTGCTAACTGAAACGTAGATCAAATCTGCCGAAACTATTGAGGAATATAATAAAACAAAGTAATGGGACTCTTGTAATTGTTTGGATAACGAAAGAATAACGGAAACTATGATTATTTGGTATTAGGTTGTTCGTAGCCAGTAGTTTCTGGGGTTCGAACGAAACATGCAGTTTTCATCATTTTGAGCACTTTTCAAGTCATTCTGAGCTGAATTGTCAAAAAACTGAATTTTTTTAACTGACCTTCACTAACTAACTCATTATGTTTCGTAAAAAATACCAGTAATCAATTTGAGAAAAGTTAGATAGGCTAGTAATTAGTTAATTTTCATCAGCTATCTTATTTGGACTGCAGGTTGCTTTTGGCAGCGGCACTGTACGGTGCCAAAAATATTCTTATGTACCGTCCGGATCATGATTTCAGTGTGCCGATTTCGGGTGATATACAGGGTGGGCCAAAAAATTTTGCAACTTTTTTAAAAGGCTAGAAAAGTATCATAACATGAAGGTATTGACATAAAAATTGATTTACAGAAAGTTTAGGATTGGCATATTTTACCATTCAAATATCTAAGCTTATACTGAGTTCTAATTTTTTTTACAGTTCTTTGAATATCAATGGTGAATTGTTAATGTGTCCCAGATTTACTGTTTTTCCAAGAAAATGTGACTTTTTATGATTTTATGTGATCAACAATAACACAAGATGCCGAGATTTTATATGAAACACGATAACGTTAGTCTGACTAAACTAGATCGTATCGTTTTACCAAATATTTCTTAAAATAGTTGACGCAGTGTATAGCCAAATGGCGCTAAAATATTGTGTACAGTTTGTTGTGTTTTGTTTCTATTGTCCATGTCATGAAATTAATTAATCAATAAATGGTAAATCTGTGTTACCCTAAATGCAATTTAGTTTTAATAAAATAGCATTCTGATAGAAATCTTGACTTTTCGTTTTATTCCTAATCTCCACAACAAACCTTTATTCAATAGAAACTCATTGTATTCAACTACTCGTTCTTTACACCGTTCCTCAAACAATCACTTGCCACTAAACAAATACATTTTACGTTTTTACAGCCTTGGCAAATTTTTCTGAATGGTGTCTTACAAAAACATTGAATTCAAGGTAAACATCGAGCTAACAATTTGCGCTTCTACAGTCGCATAAAATGTAAAGATCAAAATATATGATTTTTAAAGCAATAAGAAGAAATTGATCAAGGAGAGAGGAGAAATAGAATCAGGAGTGTTTTATCTAATTTGTTCATCCCAATGTTCCGATAGTGGGGATTTAATTAAACATCGATCACAGTCACTCGAGAAAAGAAAGCATCTATTATTGGAAATACACAGAGAAAATCAGAATTGTAAATGACTGAAAAAGAAACCGATAGAATAGGAAATAAACAGGTATCATGTTAGAATTAGATTAGGAGGAAATTGATACTAAATAGAACAAAGAGATATCATGTTAGAACTAGACAAGTAGGTCTATACTGTATATATACTTGGTTAGTATCAGGGAGATACAATAACAAAAACTCTCCGGAACGATTTATAACCCAGCCATATAAATGGAAACATTCATACAAGATGGCCGTCATCATGATGAGCAAATATGACTATACCTGTAACAAGGTATCTGACACAATAAGGAAATATAGTGATAGCTGAGTGATAATATCATAAGTATACACGGGAACTGACTTAACACAACCGTCTGATTTAAAATGGAATAACTTCTATAGAAAGGTATAATTCTAACTATATATAGGGTGTCTCAAAAAAATGTACCCAAAAGTATATCAACACCATAGACAAACCAGTCAATATTTTCAGACATTTTTTGCATGGTCTTGTAGATAAAAGATGAAAGTTTTTCCCCCTTTGCACAGTTTTTAATTCAGTTTTGCCTTTTTGATATTATAACCTGTTACCTTTTACACCACATAGTCAATGTAACCTCATATTTCGATGACAGTCATTATCCTTACTACTACATTGTTCATCACATTTGATATTTCTGGTGGAATGTTTTGATTTCTGTTCGGATGCTGGTCTTAAGTTGTTCTAGGTCTCTTAGCTTGGGTTTAGCATAAAAATGGTCCTTCAAATAGCCTCAGAGAAAAAAGTATGGGCCATCAACTATGGTGAATAGGGAGGCCCTCACAATGTCTTATAGCCCCCTTATACAAAGAGGTCAGAGGTTCAAGAAACTGCATTGGTTGGGATTCTAGTGTAGCTTTTGTTGTGTGTATCAATTTGAGACCACTGTGTTTTCATTTGGATATCATTTGGTCTCCAGGCTAGCCTGCCTAACTCTGGAAGGTAGCTCCTGAATCATTTGCCGATAATTGACCTGATTTATCTGTGTTTGTTCTGCCATCGTCATCCTCAAACACCTTTCTCTGTGGCTATTTCAAGGAGTGTTTTAATGCTCATTCCAAGCAAAAAGACCTAGAACAACTTAAGGGCAACATCCAAAGAGAAATCTAAAACATTCCACTGGAATTATTATCAAATGTGATGAACAATGCAGCAGTAAGGAAACAGGCGGTCATCGAAATATGAGGTTACATCGATTATGTGGTGTAAAAGGTAAAGGGTTAAAGCATCAAAAAGACAAGACTGAGATAAAAATGGTGTATTGGGGAGAAAACTTTCATGTTTTGGCTACATGACCATGCAAAAAATGACTGAAAATATTTATTGGTTTATCTGTGCTCTTGATATACTTTTGGGTACATTTTTTTGAGACACCCTGTATATTTAACTGCATACCGTCTAAGAGCTGGAGAAGGGAAAATATGTCTTCGAACGTGACATCCGCGGATACCACTGGATCTGGGGTTACTACGGCACCCTCGCCCCTGGGTAGTACAACCGTAGCGCCTTCTGATAGTACTGTCGATAAGTTCTTTCTTGGCCTCACATATCAGCTCATTGTCATATGTGCGATAGGATTCAATATCATCTTGCTGCTCATCTTCCTCAGAGTTAAACGCTTTAGAACTCCCGCGTATTGGCTGCTCTTGGATCTCGCTATAACCGACATCTTGGCTGCCTTCTTCTGGACTTTGCCAACTATGGTTAGCGCAGTTGGCTCGAGTGCATCCTGGGTGCCAACTGAAGGGTTTTGTAAATTTCAGGGATTCTTTTGTACCGCCTTCTTCTGCCATAACATGTTGACAGTCGTCTGTTTGGCGTTCGAGAGAGTTCTGAAACTAGTGAAACCCTCTAAATGGGAGGAATTATTCACTAGTAATACCGTTGTGTTGCTGATCATATTTAACCTCTGGGTGTACAGTATCGTCATGTCGATTTATCCTCTCATAGGATGGGGAGCGTTTACATATTTTGAAGGACAAAAACAGTGTAGTTTTGACTTTGAGAAGAGTGTATCTCATTTGAATTTCTTGTTTATAACGTCATTTGTTTTTCCCGTGTTGGTAGGATTCATCTGTCACTATCTTATTAAACTCAAACTCCGCTTCATGAAAAAGCGAGTCGTCCCCGGAATGGGCGAGAAAATGGTTATCGAGGAAAACAAAGAAGCACCTATGGATAGCTATGCAGCCAAACTAAAGAAACAACAAAACAAATTCAAACTAGCTGGAATGAAAAAGAACAAGCCCACGGTGGGAAAGAAAAGTAAAAGGAAGGGCAATGATGATGGTTATGCAAGTGACAGTAGCATGTCATCAAGCGACGAAGAAGATAAGAAAAAAGTGTCCACTGTTACTCGCAATGACCAGAAAAAGGACGAGGACTTTAAACCAAAACGCAAAAGAGTCCACGTCCTGACGAAATCAGACATCTCGTTGGCGAGAACATATTTCATTGTGTGGTTGGTGTTTAGTTTGATCTGGCTATTTTACTTCGTCATCAACTATATCTATACCTATAGTCCTACCACCGCTCTCCCTGACGGTTTCCTCGTCGCTGCTGTATGGTTCACGCACATCACAACATTTATCAAGCCCCTTATCTTCCTTACACACGGCCCTTTTCGGAAATCAACCGCCGATGCTCTTTCCAGCCTGAAATCATGCAAGTGTATCAAAAAACAAACCCAAGAAGAAAAAGTAAAATATGATTTTGGGGTTGGTGAGTTAGGCAATTTTGATTATTTTGATGAAAAGCGGAAAGCCAGGAAGACGACTGTGAAACGGCAGAGATATAAACACGAGTTGACTCCTCTCTATGACAATGATAATGATGGTAAAAAGATTGAAGAGAGTACGTTTGTCACAAAGACAACAACAACAACAACAACAACAATCGATGTTAAATGACAGATATAACTTCCAGGCATGATAGTACTCAAAGATAAATCTGTATTAGCAGTTGAGACATAATAATTCTATCAATTACATGATTTAATATCTAACGTATCGATACAACATCTCAAGGGTTTTCACCAAAGGAACAACCAACTCACTCTGATAGACAAAAAGTGATGTCATCAGCTAATGAATTGAATTCGAATAAGAAAATGTTTTTCACTTTTTATATTTTGTACTGTTTGGTGTTTTGTACTCTTTTTCTTTTTCTTTGAATTATATGTTCAACCACGGAATAAAAAGATTCAAAGGTACATGTACAAGAAAACATTTTTGAAAAAATGCTTTACCAGTAACTTACATGTTATCTTCTGGTTCAAAATAAAGTACGAAGACATACATTTAGGTGTACTTCTTTATTTTTTCAGGAAAGTATCATTGATACATCTTGTGTTAGGTGATTCTTTTCAAAACTGTTAACTACATATAGAATAAATATTATTACGTGTCGCAAAAAGGTGGCGCATTTGTTTTTTAAGGGTATCGCGTGAATGTAACTTTGATTCCCCGGATTATAAGATAATATTCTAATTAAAGTTATATATCATTTTAAAGCTGTTTCGATGAAGATTTTAGATCAACTACACTCCGTTCACATTTTTTGCGCGTTCGTTTTTAAAAAAGAGTTTTTTACCAAAACATCTGGCAAATATCCCATGTTGACACGTTACATTTTGAATTATTTTTCGTCTTTAAACGCTCATAACTCAAACAATATATGACTATTATACTTATTTTTTGTCTTGATAAAGGTAGATGGAAGTTTTATTTCAAAGGATGAATTTTAGTAAGCGTCCCATATTGTGACGTCATAGAGTCTGAAAAATAAAATCTGTTGACAGCGACCTTTTTTGCTCATTTTTTGGTACCTTCAACTTTTCAGGTGAACATTAAACAAAAAATACGAGATGACTTTTTAATAAATCATTATTTTGCTCCTAAACTGTAGTTTATTAATAAATAGTTGATTTTGTTCACAAAAGTATGTGTTTTCTGTTGTTTGTGGAAAAGTGGAGGACGAAAGGTTTTCAAAATTCATTAAAATAGGGCTAATTTACGCCATTCGCCTATTTTCAAGCACAGCAACACGTATATTTATTTCACCTAAAATATCAATTGATTCGTGTTTTATGATGCTCCTAACCCATTGTTAATACATATACAATATCAGATTTATTCGCCTTAAATATTTTGAGATATAGAGGCAAATGTGGAGGACGAAAGGATTTCCATAAGTGTTCATTTTTCTCAAAAACGTCACATTCTATCATGTTAAAAGCGAGGATCCTCTGGATTACGCCACAAAATGTGTAACAATGCGTGCGCGAGCTTTTTGCGACACGTCTATAAACTATATTAAAACAAACTGATAAATTTTAAAATGAATACAGGGTGTTCAAAAAAGGCAACCCAAAGAAATCGGCATATCTTGAAAAATACTGGTTCAATTATGTTCATATTTTCAGGAAATAAAGAGGAGACTGTGTGTGTATAGCTCCGATAAATGGTTAGTTGTAAAACATGATACCTTGGACACCTGCTCAAAAGACAGTTGTACTAGGAAAATACGAAAAACGCAGTCAGTGGTGACTGCAACCGCAAAAATCTAGATAACTTCCTAACTATAGTGTCCCGGCACAAATCATCTTCATTCACTGTATGGTGAATTTGTAGAGTGAAATCAAAATCACTTAAGGGACTTTACAGTCATGGTCGAAGTGCTTTCAAATCGCAGTCAAAAGCCCTGGTTCAGGCAGACTTAAGAAGGCATTTTGACCATGACTGTAAAGTCCGTGTAGTGATTTTGATGAAACTCCACAAATTCATCACACATTAAATGAGGATAATTTGTGCCAAATCTGAAGTGCCAAAACACTATGGTTAGAAAGTTATTTGGTTTTATTGCTGTGGCAGTCACCTCTAACTGCGTTTTCATAGTACAACTGTCATTTGAGCAGGTGTCCAAGGCATCATGTTTTACAACTTTCTGACAACAGGAGCAATACATACACAGTCTCTTCTTTCTTTTCCTGAAAAAATGAACATAATTGAATTAGTATTTTCCAAGATGTAGTGATTTTCAATTAGCGTTTTTCGTATTTTGTTAGTACAACTGTCTTTGGAGCAAGTGGCCAAGACATCATGTTTTAAAACTAACTAACAAAAGGAGCTATACATACACAGTCTCTCCTTTCTTTCCAGAAAATATGAACAAAATTGGATTTAGTATTTTCCAAGATATAGCGATTTCTTTGGGTTGCGTTTTTTTAACACCCTGTAGCTAGAATGGCAAATAGGAATTAGCCTAAAAGATTTAAACGTGAGAAAATGAAAGGGAAATGGTGAATCCTTGGCCTTGTTCTTCATAAGATTCCGATTAGTTCGTTTGGTGTCACAGAACTCAGTGGAAAGAGCGAGCGAGGGGAAGCAAAATATCAGGAATAAGTGGACTTTTTTACACTTAATCCGTCATGAGTGTCATCCCTCTTGCGCTTCTCCGTTTTTAAATACTGAGCCTAGTTTTATTGATCGCAATATGTAATCGCCAAAATGCAGGTTGGTTTCGTCATCTTCATAAGGAATAACCAATGTTGTGTACAACCATGTATGATCTGCAATGCAGTCAGTCAGTTGTAATGCCTTGGTCACATTTGCTCCGATTCATCGGCAGGCCGATTGAGTGTTTTGTTCAATATTGTATTCAATTTTGAACAAAATACTCAATCGCCCGGGCGCCGTAGTAAAAATCGGAGAAAATGTGACCAAGGCATTACTTATTCCATGGTAAACGTATGCAGCCATTTTTCTACAAGATAGGGATGGTAACCCTGGGGTCCTACACCGCTTATAAACACCACAATTCCATCGTTGATAATGTATAACCTTTCGGGAAGCGCTCCGTAGCTTTTAGTAGCGAAATTCGTCATATCGTCGGCGAAAATCGAACAGCTCAAATTTGCGTTCGATTTCAGCATCCGTGCTGCTTCAATGCGTTCCTTTAAATTCCGATGCTGTTTTATCGTTACATTATTTGTGAAGTGCCAACCATCGACGGGATGAGATTCTTCTGTATAAATCTGGATGAAATCGGCGATGTTGTTATACTTACAGATGATATTGCGAAATTGGCTCAACTTCGCTCGAAACGGCGGTCATGAATAACTGCCAAAATTGATAACCATTGGTCTATTTGGACGGATGAGCGAAGCGAGTGAACATATTGAATAATCCAATGAATATAGCGTGAAATCTATGTATGGTTTCCATATCCGAACTTTTCTGTTTTCAACTATGCTATACACGCGCCAACTGCGCTTTAACTGCTTTAATGTAAAACATTCTTTGATCACTTGTTCTGGAGGAATTCTTAGGATTTCCTTTGAGTTTGTTGGAAGCCATTTGCGTGGCATTAAATAGCGCATCACCACCAATGCGATCTGGAACACTAACACTCGTAAAAGCGTCTGTGATGTCCGCAAAACACGTCTGCAGTACTCCATTTTATATTCCTGTAAAAGGAGATAAACAGAGTTTATGTAAATGTTAAGTTGTCTAAGTTTACTTTATTTAAAATGAGGCGAATGGAAGTTTTATTTACAGGGTGATCGGAAAAAAGTTCCCTTCTAGTTTTTGGAATAACTTTCTGAAATATGAAGGAATCTCCATAAATCTTTTTGTTGAGAGTTATTAATTTAGGAAATTGGTGGTACTTACATAGCACAACAACTTAGAGATTTAGATATATCATATTTTCCATGGAGACATGCTGTGAAGCCAAATCACTAAAACGTGTTAAGAAACCTGTCTTCCTTAAATTCCACCTAATATATACCGTGGGCAGAAAACTAGATTACGCTAAATCTTAAAATCATAGAAGCAATATAAGTACACCACTGTTTTCTGCATTAAACACTCTATATACACAAAAAATCTGATCTCACATTTGAGAAAGTTATTCCAAAATTAGGGGGTAACGAATTTTCTGGTCACCCTGTAAATTCGATTCAATATTGACAAAATCATAAAATATCAAAATAACTGACAGATGTTAAAAAATTAGCAAAAATCTGTTCGATCACCAATATGTCATTAATGGCGTTGATAACATAGATCAGCCGTGTAACCTTGTAATTGACACTGATCAAGTCACGGTTATATTGCTAATTGTTAACTTTGCAAGTGAACTGTCACCGGGTAATGAAACGAACGGTACATCGTATTTTACGTATGTCTAAACCTTGCACAGCAATTTTTGAAACGATGATTTAATTTATAAAAAATGAGTAACACGTACAGGTACCTGTTATACTTTAAACGAAGACTTTTTCATTCTGAGTGTCCAGACTCTCCTTACATGCTGCTTGCAAGAGGCTCTACAGCGTAGTGCGATTAACTTCTTTTGGCAATGTGGTGTCCTCTAGGTGCCTCTATTTTGCCCGAATCAAAACACACATTTGACTAGCATGCAACATCGTCATTCGTCATGATGCAGGGTTTTGCAAACTATCTTTGCACACCTTCACCTTTTAAAATGTATGTTTAAATTTAAATAGTCTGCTTCCTCCTGTTAAAAACTTTATTCTATTTGCCGAAATGCTGTGAATGATTTATAGAAAAACAAGCTTTTTTATATTGTATATATTATAAACACTTTTTTGTTTAATTCTTTTCATATATTATCCCTGATTAAATCCTCAGCCTCCACACCTCGTAAAACCTACTTTTATACGAAAAGGTGACAGCAAAATAATCGAAAGGGACGGATCATTTTAGGAGGGGTTTGCTTACAATTTTCGATTTTAGATTTAAGCCCTGGACTCAGAGCAATGTGGACTAAATCAGTAGTATGGGAGCTACTCACTTCTTCCGGTAGTGCAGTGCAGTTAGACGAAATACTGTGTTCGGATTGGGTGGAATCGGACACACCTTGCCCAGTTATGTGTGAATCTTATAAAATCCACTGGTTCAAAACAGAATGAAACTGATTTAGGTAAGTCTCACCCAATACAATGGGCGAAAGATATCCGGACGTCTATAACACCCGAGTGCAAAAACAGACCCCTAGCCAGCTTTTGTCAAGGGGTCAATTATTTTTTTAAATCCAGAAGGGTTCGATTTTGACAATTCTGACCAAAAATCACCCAAGTGCTCAAAATAGTGAGGATAAGCATTTTAAGACTATTTGCCCGACCCCCCCCCCCCCCTTGGCTACTGGCCTGACAAATGTTTAACATTCTCCTTTTTCGATGATGTTTGACGTCACT